TCAAAACATCATGTTCAAACAAGTTACCTTTCAGAGTATCAAATTTATAAATTCAGATTGTTTAATTCAAGTTCCATATGAAATGTTGTATTCTAAATATGCCCTTGATTCCCACATAATTTCCATGTAAAAACTGTTATTGTGATGATAGCTGCATTCCTCAACACGTGGCCATTGCCTTTGTATTAACGACCTTGCAGTTTACATACGGTCATCCGCCTCAGTCAGGCAAGGCCACCAAGCAAAGAAAAAGAATTGTTCTTGGAATTCAAAATTTTTACATGCATTGGATGCCATTTCAATTACTTGGTCTTGTTTGTTATTTTGCCTAGACTTGAGAGAAATACACATGCCCTGTGAGAAATTGCATTTACAAATATTAAACTCAAAAAAACATTTGGACACTAGCTTCTCTATATTTACACTAGGCTTCATATACATTTTGATGATCATTTATATATTGCTGCCATGTGCTTTGGGTAACTGCATTTCACTTTTTATCTTGGTGCTATTAGAAAGTGTGCTTGAGGGCTACGCTGAAATACTTGCTAAACTTGAGAATTATTCTACAAAAATCTATCTGGAATGGGGAAACAGATACATTAGTGGATAGGGCTCCAGCTGCAGTACATATGATTCAATTCAGGATAAATTCAGAATCTGTATGTTTGTCAATAAAATCTATATGCTTGGAAACAAGCAAAAAGTCTAATTTATTCTAATTAAATAACTTGTTATGCTAAACAAGTGTGACGAGTGAGTCGCCTATCTCACACCCATGACATATATATATATATATATATTGTAAAGAACTTTAATTTTGATCATGTAATGCAGTTGCTACATTCCGCTCTCTTTATTTACCAGAAACAGTTCATGATGTGTACCATCCTAGAAGCTGGCGGTTGTACATCAAAGGCCATTGGAAATCCCGGCCCTGATTACATATATGTGGATCAAGCAAAGGCAACACTTCTTCAACTGGAAACATTAGATGTTAACATAGAGGAGAGACTAAACACTGCTCCCAGCCCATGTTTATCTTCTGCTGACTTGTTTCTGCCATCCTCACGGGACAAGTTCCACAGTTTCACTAATTCTGGAGTACTAAATAAAATGCAGACTACCCCTAAGAAAGCCACCTCTCCTATGAGTAAGAAAGGGTTATTTTACGAGACTGCCTCATCTCTAAGGACTCGTAGGCCAAGCCCTACTCGTAGCAGTGGTGGATCTGATAATGGGAGTGAAGGCGCAGTGGACTGTGCAAGAAGTGTGACCCAGTCTACACCCGACAGAAAATTTGGGCGACGAGAATCTCAAGGGTCAGGTGGTTCTGAAGAAAGTGGTGGAAGTGGGAATTTGTTCAAGGTATCTTTTGTGGTTGCTTATCCAAACCCATGGTAAAATTAATTAGTAATAGTAATTAGTAATTACAAAAATTCTACTATTGGAATTTTTAAAGGAATTAGATTGAACCAAAAACTAATGAATGACTTACAGCAATTTTGCAAGTGAAACAAACTAATCCTAGTGAGGCATAGTACCTGCAAGGTTACTCAACACCCTCTACAGTAGGGTTGTCTAATCACAGCTCTACAACTCCAATAATTATCTGTCCATCTATTACATTGGGAGTTGTTGTCTATCAATGTCCTCCAGGGCTGCACCGTTCCTGTGGCACTCTCTTCCCTCCTCCGTTAGATGCTCACCCAGTTTCCACTCCTTCAAAAATCATTAAAAAATCACTTCTTCATAAAAGCGTATCAATTAAACTGTTAATAGCTCCCGACTGATTCCTCTCTTGTAACTGTCATTAGTCTAATACTATCCTTACCCTTTTGTGTCATTTTACCCCACTCCTTCTAGCATGTAAGCTCATTGAGCAGGGCCCTCAACCCCTCTGTTCCTGTGTGTCCAACTTGTCTGGTTACAACTACATGTCTGTTCGTCCACCCATTGTAAAGCGCTGCGGAATTTGTTGGAGCTATATAAATAGTAACATAATAACAATCAATATTTTGGTGAATGGAGAGGAGGGGAGGGATAACCTTGCACTACGTCATCTCCTGATTTAATATATTTATATTTACTGATAGAAATCATAAACTATAGAAGTAATTTTGGTGGTCCAGTATCTAGTAAAATTTAAAATGAGCATTGCATTTTTAGATAAACAAGAAGAGATACTCCCTTCCCAACCCATTTAATCTTGGTAACCTACGAAGGAATCTTTCTGAGAGAGAAGCTGAAGACCTTTACAACACAGTCAAGTAAGCACTTAAGTACATATTCACAATATTGTGATAAACTGAATGAAAAATAGCACTCTAGGGACTTCTTAGCAGAGAACACAAATGTATTTATTTACTCAATGTTTCAGTTTGACGGTGCGAACTATATTATATTTAATATCAAGGGATCTAATACCATTCATTTCATAACACTTACTACACTAATATATTCAGTATAAATGTATTATATTGAATATTATTATAGAACGCCCATTCAACTGTGTGGTATTAAGTGTGCATGTACATTATATTGAGAAAAAATAGCTCATAATACATTTTCCTTTGCAGTTGTAAAGAACATAATGGAAATGGTGCACTATAATCTTAGAGTTGCCCTATACATTCGTTGTGTGCAATGTAGATGAAATCTACAATCTCTTCCTTGTCATATACTGTGACATATAGGGTTTGACAGTCTCTGGACTATAAAGAGATGCTCCATGCTTCATAACCCCTACAGTTTTTTTTTTAACTATGGTTGTTTTATGGGACTTTCTGAAACCCAGACCGTGCCCTCTTCAGGTAAAATATAAAGCAGAAATTACACTTCCTTCCAACTTGGACAGCAGTAATTGTACTGGCAGTGCTTTGTTGAACCCACAGGATGGTTCGCATAGATTCACCGCTACACTTCAGTGAGCTATAGTTATTATACTGAGAATTTCCATTTTATGTGTCACTCTGTCTAGCTCTAGTTTACTTGGAAGAAAGTTTTATTATTGTATTTTTGTAAGTGCATATACATGCAGTCTATCTTTTTGTCATGAAGGTTAACCTCTGGTCCTGAAAACACACTTTTCCACTACATCTACCTGGAGACTTTATATGGAATCTTCATATCTCCTACACACAGAGAAGTGGAACAGCTTGCTGGCTCAATACATCCTCAGCTCATCAAAAACTTCCATCGCTGCTGTCTGTCTATACGCTCTGTGTTTCAGCAATCTCTTGAGAAAAAGGTATGGTTTATTTCCTGGAACACTAGGGTCAGGAACACAAACATGTATTCCTGACCCTATAGTGTTAAAACCACCATCTAGCCTCCCTGGCCCCTGCTTACCCCCTAAATATAGCAAAACCTTACCCTTTTTCCAGTCTGCTGCTGCTGGTTCTGCCCATGAGCTGCCTGTTTGGCTGCCATCAACAGAAGTGATTCTTACAGCCAATCAAAATGCTTTCACATAGGATTGGATGAGACTGTCAAGGAGACAGATCAGGGGCAGAGCCAGCACAAGTCAAACAAAGCCCTGGCCAATCACCATGTCCTCATAGCGCTGCATTGAATCAGTGCATCTCTATGAGGAAAGTTCAGTGTCTCCATGCAGAGGGTGGAGACACTGACTGTCAGTGCTACACACTGTGCAATGCTGCCTCAGGAAGCACTTCTAGTAGTCATATGAGGAGTTGCTAGTGGAGGTATCCCTATGCTGTAAAGTAAACACTGCATTTTCTCTGAAAAGACAGTGTTTACTGCAAAAAGCCTGAAGGGAATGATTACTCATCAGAACATATGCAATAAGCTGTAGTTGTTCTAGTAACTATAGTGTTCCATTAAGGATAGAATGTCATATGCACTTGTGCTAATAAAAGGATATACCTAGCCATACATATTTAAAAAAAAAATCTACGTTTGTTTATTATTTGCGGGGGGGGGGAGGGATTGCTTTTATTGATCTAACAATTGCCTCAGTAGGGAGCCTTCTTTTGTTTGTGGACAGAAAAGAGAACACATAAATTAGAATGTGGAACTGTCTTAAAATGCAAAAAGAGCACGTGTTAATACAGTCTCTGCTTTTTCTTTTTCAAGCAAAATAGTGGTTCTGATTCCAAGGTCTGTGCAGAATTTGTGGGACTAGGTCTAATTAAAGAACACGGGGTCTTATTTGAATGTTGTCCTGAGAACTGGACAGACCAGAAGAAATCGCCACCAACAATGTCGTATTGGGTTATAGGGTAAGTGCTTTTAGACCATTGTATCATGTTAAAACTGAAACTATAGAAAGTGAGTTTACTTCGGAAGACTTGAAGATCTTGATGTTGTGCATTTTAAAAAGTAATTGTGAATGTAGGTTGCCATATGTGTTGCTAGCAGATTGGAAATAAAAATACAGGAAAATTCTCAATGGAGCAAAATTTGTAATAGCCCATAATGTCCTTTCAGAACTGCTGCATATTAATCACACCAGTACAGAAAACCTCTTAATGTAGGCATATAACATATGGGTGTCACAAGCTGCTTACAGAGATCTTGAGGCACCCAATTAATGACTACCATATTCTGACATACTTTATTCTTCTTTTTTACAGAAGACTTTTCCTGCATCCTCAGCCCCAGGAGCTCTATGTCTGTTTCCATGACTCTGTTACAGAAGTTGCTGTTGAGATGGCTTTTAAACTGTCCTTTGGGATGCCTCTTTAATGCCTCCTGTCTGGTGTCCACCATATTCTACTTCAGTAGAATTTTGCCTTATACCTGCACTCGTGAGAAATTATAGTGTGTTAATTTCTTGCTTTTATGAAAAAAATAAATATTTAAATGAACTTTTTTTTACAATGTTTATAACTGGTGAAACCTACAGAATTTCCTAATTTTTGTACTTGAACTTTTTTTTTTATTGATGTTAACCTGACTTGTTTTTTGGCACTTATGTATAAATCATTTGAGAAATGTATATATATATTGCACTTATAAAACTCATCAGATATTTACTTCTGAAAATTTTGTTTTTGTGTTTTATACCACATTGTAAATTCATAAATGATTACTTTGATGAATGCCCCAAATAACTCCATGATATATAATATTACTGCAGTACATTCATTCAAAACACATGACCAAAGTGAATGCTTCTGATAGTACTCTGCAGTGGAACTTAGCAATAACATATCCAAAGTCCCCCAGTCCTCCCCCTCCTTCTGTACCCACAATCCTATTTTAATACATTTTAAACACAGTGGGTATATAAACCCAGGAAGCACTGCAATCCATTTAAGTGTACATAGAGGAGATATGTCTTATGAAATAAGAAACACTGGGTCCCTCAGTTGAATTAGGAATCTGCACTATAAGTAAAGAGAAGATGTGCCATTAAAACATTTATTCCTGACCCTAAATTTTTAAAACCACCATCTAGCCCTCTGGCCCCCTCTTGCCTTCCTAAATACCAGTCTACAGTTGCCTGGAGCTTAAGTCCGCTCCATTTCCTGTTGTCAAAGAAATTTTCCCACAATACTAGCCCTCCTCCAGTAATCTCTAGATGCTTCATTCGCCGTTCGAACATCCTGTTAGACAGGGCTCCGGTGAATTTACCGAATTTCTTCCTTACAGAATGTTGAAAGTTTGTCGATTTGTGTTAGGACAAAATTCGTTTTAGTAGACATGCCGTGGCTCAGATTGGAATTTAATTTATTCAAATTAAATTCCAAACCGAGCAAAATGTACAAATGTCATCCCAATACAAATGGACAAACTTTTAACATTCTGTTAGGACGAATTCAGTGAATTCACCTGCGACCTGTCTAAATGACAGGACGTTCGAACGGCAAATGAAGCAACTAGAGATAACGGAGGAGAGGTGAATATTGTGGGAAAATTTCATTGACAAGAGAAAATGGAGCGGACTTAAGCTCCTCCTTTGGTCAAAGAAGGTCAAACGTAGGAAAATACATAAGACAAAGTAGTCCCTACAATGTGAAAGGCTAGCAAAGCTGAAAATGAGTGGAAATGAGTGGATATTGAAAGTACAATACAAATCACATTGTAATACAAAAAAACAAGACTTGTAGCCAGAAGAATAAAGAGTTTGGCAAAGAGTAGCTAGAAAGACAAAAAAAAAGATGTCAGTCAAAAAAGTAGACTGGAGAAATGTGGGATATGTGAAGGCTGAAAACTGAATATTGCTTAGGGCAGTAAAAATCTTAGTACAGGCCCTAAGGGATATACTTTTTCATCATTTATTATGCGGTTCCTGTGCTGAAAAAGTTGATAAATACTGTTCTAAACTGTAGTTTATCAAGTCATGGGTGGATGGAGCATATGAAAAAAAATAGCCACACTAACAGTACTGCATGGATTGTAAATGGCCATTTGAAAACATGATGTAAAGAACAAATGCAAAATAAAACATATGGGAATATGAGGTTGTAGTTAATAATGTGGCTTATTGAAAATACCCTGGCTTTTACACTTGCACAATTCTGCTTTAAAACACAGTATTGTGCTTACTTGTACTGTTATGGGTACAAACATGGAACTATTTATATAAATTCTATGTGATGACTATTATAAGTATTTCACAATTTCCCCGTCTTCAATACACCTTACAAAAAGATAATTCCATTTGTATGGCAAACAGGAATGCATTATGTAATATTATATAGGGTTGCTGTACAAGCACCATATCCACTTCAGTGATTTGAAGTGGTCGTGGTGTTTGGCTTCTGTATGTGAAGGCTTCCACTGAGAAACTAAATTTAGCTTCACAAGATACTCATATTGCTTTATATTTTTTATGGTATTTTTAAGAACTATGTTAAGAAAACTTTTGGAACTTGTGCTTACTAATTTCCCTGTTTTTTTGAGCAACCACATAACCTATGTCCACTCCAGTTGGCAGCTCTGCAGCTAGCACCTACTATTTTCTTTCCTCAAATGATTGGCTGCAAGAGACGGCCCTAAATTTGCATGTTTCCAATAAACTGCCAACTCGTCCCAGGCTGGTTTTAACATCAAGAATTAGTTTTTATGTGTGTTTCTACTAAAACTGTGCCCATACCACAGACCTGTATTTACTAAACCCAAATGTGTATTCCAAATTAGGCATGTTAGATTCTATTACTTATTATTCCTTAATATGCAATTTTTCTGAAAAATAAGAGCCATATTTCAGACAAATTGTCACTGGAATTGAGGTCAGATTTGCACAAGGACACTGCCAGAGACACTTACATAGTTTCACAATGCCAGACATAGTGTGTCTATGTATCAGACTGTGTACATAAGTGTGCATGTACGTATGATGATTTTTAAAAATGTATTTTTTATTTTTTATTTGTTTCCATTAAGTAATGCACAACCTATGCATACTGAAACAAAAAATACATTTAAACATTAATTTCCAGAACACCTAAAGTTCTTGGACTCTGGGTGTGTTGTGTTTTTTTGTTTTTTTTGCAAATTGCTTTGTAGTTAAGTGGTTAAAAGGCCTCCACCCTCCATTACCTATTACAATGCTGCTAAACTACATTGTGTCCACCTATTGCGACCTCACACACCTTAATTATTATTATTATTATTTTTTATTGAGTCTCCGAGTCTCCATGACACTGCTGTCCTCCTACCACGCATTACTTCCTGATTAACACATTTTTAAGAAGACATAACTTGGCTTTATCTGTGCAGATTTTTGTATTGGATTTAGAATTTTTATCCTTTTTCTAAAGTTGACATTTTATCCATAGATACTATTAACTATAGGTTATCTTCTCCTCTCCCTTTATTTACCCATAATCTCACCTATGATACTAAAAAATAATTAACATATTAAACATCAAGAAAGACCTAAAAAAAAAAAAAAACCCCACTTAATAATGAAAAAGGTTTAATTAGAAGAATAATCTAAAGCAGGGTTTCCCAAAGTGTGGGTCGCAGAGTGATTCCCAGTGGGTCGCGCTGACCCACACATCCAGGGCCGCCGGAAACCTAAGAGACAGAACGGCAGGCAGATTGATTACTCTGGCCCCACACCAGGAAGGGGCCCGGCGGCTTGCCCTGTATGCCGCCAGGCTCCTTCGAATCAGTCTGCCCAGCACCTCCGGTCTGCAGCTCCGCCGGGTGCAGAGCACAGACAGTGTGATATGTTTTCCGAGCACCCAAAGCGTTACCATGGCAACACTCTGGGTGTTCTCAAGACTTCTATCACATGCAGCAGTGTATTTACTGTGAGGCTGACCAGGCATTTGCCTTGCGTGGCACTTTCTGGGGGGGCGGCAAAAAAAGCCGCCCACCAGTCGCCCTGACAAATGCCTTGCCAGCCTCTTGTCCTGGAGGACTAGTGTATGTGTGTCTGACACGGAGTGTATGTGTCTGTCAGTGAGTGTGTATTTAGAAGGGGAGGGGGTGCCTGAGTTTTGTCATGCCTAGGGCAGCACAAAACCAGGATACACCACTGATCACATTGTCTGCACCCGGCGTAGCTGCAGACCGGAGAGTTAACCCATTGGACCACCAGGAAATTTAATAATGGTAGGACATGGCCCCCACAGCCTGCCCCCCCATCCCCACTGTAACCCTTTCTCTCCCTGCTCCCCTTCCCCACACTGTAACTCTTTCTCTCCCTGCTCCCCTCCCCACACTGTAACCCTTTCTCTCCCTGCTCCCCTCCCCACACTGTAACCCTTTCTATCCCTGCTCCCCTCCCTACACTGTAACTCTTTCTCTCCCTGCTCCCCTCCCCACGCGGTAACCCTTTCTCTCCCTGCTCCCCTCCCCACGCTGTAACCCTTTCTCTCCCTGCTCCCCTCCCCACGCTGTAACCCTTGCTCTCCCTGCTCCCCTCCCCACGCCGTAACCCTTGCTCTCCTTGCCCCTCCACTGTAACCCTTTATCACCCTGATTTCCTCCCCCCCCCACGGTAGCCCTTTCTTCCCATGCCCGCATCGCTGTAACCCTTTTTCCCCCCTGACCGCCCACTGTAACTCTCTCACACTGCCCCCCAAAGCTGTCACCAGCACACACTCCCTCCCACACGGTCACCCACACCTTCTGTCTCTGTATGTATGTGTATCTGTGTGTCCTTTTGTGTCAGTATGTGTATATCTGAGTGTATTGGTGTGTCAGTGTGTATTTGTGTGTCTGTGTATTTGCCTGTGTGTCAGTGTATCTCTGTATGTGTGTGGAAGTGTATACAATGCACACAAATGCACACCTGCATTCAAACACCAGCATTCACACATATACTCTATACAAAAACATGTTTACATTCAAACACACATTGTGTAAATGTAGATTTTATATACACAATATACACTGCATCCACTACACACACACACACACTGCAAACATTACATAAAAACACAACCCTGTATTAAAACACAAAAATGATATACACCCCTTCATTCAAACACCCACACTACACACAAAAAGCACACCTGCATTTAAAGTCCAACACTACATACAAACACCCCTGCATTCAGACGCAAATATTACACACAAGTACACCACTACATTCCAATAGCTGCAGCAGTACATACAAATACACCCATACATGCACATATACTTTTATTAAAAAAAAAATTTAAAAAACCGCTCAGAAATCTAATCCTGCAACGATGGGCAAATAGTAGATTCCCAGCTGGCACAGCATTGTTGAAGTCCTCTGACAGATGGGGATCTACATTTTGGCCACACTTGCACTAGAGGGGGGGCCAAAAAACATACTTGCACCAGGACCCTCTCTACATTAGTTCCACCACTGGGATGCCATTTTATGCACCCAAAGTTGCCATGATGTACCATGTTTATGCATCTAAAACGGATTGCTATGGTGTGCCAATTGTATGCCTCTAAAGAGGATTGCCATGGTGTTCATTTTTAAAATATGCATTAAAAGCATAAAAAATTACCGTTTTCAAAAGTGGGTCTCAGCCCATAAAAGTTTGGGAAGCCCTGATATAAAGCATTGAATATACATTTTTCAAATGCTATGCTGCCCTCTAGATATAATTTCATTTATTACAGACTGCTTTCACACTTTGCGGTACATGTTGTAGCATGTATACCAATTGCTATGTTTTGCTTTAATGCACAAGCATTTAATTCCACTAATGTGAGTAAAATAGTTTGTACAAAGTTTTGATTAATTATTTTTTTTTAATTATAATATTGCAGACTGCAATGTGATCTCTCAATTCTCACCTTTCTTGACAATGCAACTCCCTGTACTATTAATGAATATAAATCCCCTTTGTGCCAGTCTGGTCACTTGTCCAATAAGACTGCATCAGCTGGTGTGGCACTCTCAGCATCTGGGCACTTTGCAGAACTAAAATAATGTTGGCAAAGTACTAATGCTAATGTCATGTTTTCATTGCTAATTCAAGATGAAGGATTTTTTTAGATGCATTTGTTCCAGGCTAGCTACATCATAACCTATTAAAGAAAGACAACATTTTTGAAGGCAATCACATAAATGCATTTTTTTTAATTATAATTTTTTTTAACACATTCAAGTACACACACAGCGGTGTTAATGTATCTTTGTTACAACATAAATGCGTAACTGTTTCACCCCGAAGTATATTCTGTTTATCAATTTGCTAAGACAAAATCTTTCGATTGATAAGGTGTGTTATTGTGGGTGCAATTATAATGTATATTAATAAACAATTGGCATTTTTGTTATATATATATATATATATATATATATATTTATATATTACAAAAATGCCAATTGTTTATTAATATATATATATAGAGAGAGAGAGAGATGCTAAAATACTATACAATACCTACATTATGTATTTATTATTTATTTGTATGCTGTAATACAGGCAAGTTACCCTTTGAATTATATTAGTAAAGGATTTGACTTATTTGGAATGATAATGAGTAGAAAGCAAAGCCACGTAAATTATAATACTTTAAAGGTAATATTAGCATTGGCAAATGTGTTGATCTGTCCATGGATGCATAGCTCACATAAAGAGAGTAAGCCAAGCAATGATCTCATTGTCTGATGGTAACACCAGTGGGATTTGATTCCTCTTCTTACTCTTATGTAAATAACATAAAGAGGTTATTTAAATAGAAGTTTCAGCTTGTGTAAGAAAGCTCTTATGACAGAATTGAGTATCTTATAAATATTACAATGCTTTTAACCTAGGGCATTGGCTGTGAAATCTTTATATTAGAGGTAGGTTGTGCACATGGTGAGTAATTGTCTTAGGCAGGTGCAGCACCTTGTACATCATCGTCGCTGGTTGCAGTGGGTGACCCTTCCAATGGCTATCATGATTCTGGTAACTCTAGGTCCAAATCAATCGTTCCAACAACTATTTATAAATGTTGATCGATTTAGAAGTTGAACTGTGATCATTTCTTTACCCACTACTCTTCCTCTGCAGTACCAGTCTTTTATATGGATTAGGGACGGCAACATTAGAATGCCAGGTCGTATGGGTCATTGAGTTCTGCTGCTGGATTTGGCTTTCGGATGGTGGTTGACACACTCATTAAATCACATATTTCCAACGATTTGTATGCATTCAGTCTTCCATAGGCTGGCTGGAGGTATACTTGTTTCGTACCAGACATTTTTACTCTGCTATAAAGAAATGTTAAGTCATGTGTTAGAAATGTATTCATTATTCTATCAGTATTATAAGTTTTCTATTGGTCTCTATGACATTAAAGGAACACTATAGTCACCTAAATTACTTTAGCTAAATAAAGCAGTTTTAGTGTATAGATCATTCCCCTGCAATTTCACTGCTCAATTCACTGTCATTTAGGAGTTAAATCACTTTGTTTCTGTTTATGCAGCCCTAGCCACTCCTCCCCCTGGCTATGATTGACAGAGCCTGCATGAAAAAAAAAAACTGGTTTCACTTTCAAACAGATGTAATTTACCTTAAATAATTGTATCTCAATCTCTAAATTGAACTTTAATCAAACAGAACTTGCAATAAAGAAAGCTTAAATAGGGCTCTCTTTACATGAAGTGTTTATGGAAGGCTGTGCAAGTCACATGCAGGGAGGTGTGACTAGGGTTCATAAACAAAGGGATTTAACTCCCAAATGGCAGAGGATTGAACAGTGAGGCTGCAGGGGCATGTTCTATACACCAAAACTGCTTCATTAAGCTAAAGTTGTTCAGGTGACTATAGTGTCCCTTTAACACATTTAACTTACTACTTCTAGTTCATTATCTCATCCACTGTATTCTAGTTATGTAAATATGTTTCTGCTTGTGATCATTACCTGATATATTATCTTCCAGAAACTTCCAGAAAGATATATTATCTTCCAGATATATTATCTTCCAGATCAATACCATTTTCATTTATTAACATAATTTTAAAAATAAACATTTGAAAGAAATGTATTTAACTATTCATTGTATACATTACACAGTTTAATAAACCTCATACAAATTTCATGTAAACTATAATTATAGCAACAAAATTCTCAATCTAATTAAACAAACACTACTTAGATGTAGTTAGCATGTGAAAGGTTCAATTGATTTGAGTTTTTCATATGTTTTTTCTAATGTCATATGTTTTTATAATATTTATATATTTTTTAAGAAACTATTCTTTGGAATAGGTGGCCCACACTGATCACGTATAATGATCAGAAAGATAATCAAACTAATTTGCAGCTTTGTTTTAAATGGCTGACAATTACGTGTATAGATAGCTATGGCTCAAAACTGTAAACTGTAACTCCTATAATCCTGAGCTATTAAAACCGAATTCAGAATTGGTGTGAATTCAATTGTAGTGATAAAACTGAGGCAAACAGCCAAGTTATGAATATACCAGAGTTGGAGAGTTTTTGCAAATCAGTTTTTCCCGTTCAGATTCAATTTCTCTGAAAATCATTGTTTTGTGAATGAAGTAAACTTTAAAGCTTCTTTTACAACGTTTACGTTTCAACAACACAGCACCTATTATTGAATGGCTACATATATCGGAAAAATTAATTGTGCCAGATTTCGTCCCATTCATTTTTATTTACTACACAGAAATGAGACTTGCCTTACAAGTCAACCAGTCAGATGGATCTACTGACAATTTAAAGCATGGATAAGCCTTTATAAAGACTTTTCCCTCATAGAAAGCTCATTCTGTGCAGAGCCCTCACTTGGATGTAATTTTTTAATTTCTAATAGTAGTGTACGGTTTTAGTCGATTTTTTTTGGGGGGTGGGAGATGTGGTTTAAGTAATGAAGACTTTAAAAGAAATAGACTTTTGGAGGTAAGTAGTGTTTATTTCCTCTTTTTCTTACATGTATTAGATTTATTAGCCTCCTCACTATTATTAGGGTAAGGGGTGACTGTTCATTTTGGCGACACCTAGCCACTGCGGCCCACTTCTGGGAGTGATCAAGAGCATGTCATCCACCCTATCACATATATTACTCCCACCCAAAGCAGAGTGATCTGCCCACCCACCATTAGATATGTAGATAGTATGTATGAAATTGAAATGCCTCCCTTATACTAATATTGACCCACATTGATTTAGTTATTTATTTAATTTTTTTAATGTGCTGGCCCTTGCAGCATCAAAGAGTTTCTTTAACTATTTACATGCTGGCTACTAGTGGGCATATAGTACTACAAATTATTGTTCACTTGCAAAAGCAAGTGAAGGATAATTTGCAAATGTGCATCCTGCTGGATTTTGTTTAAAATCACTGTTTTGTGCATATTCCAAATCCTACATTTTGGTTTTGAATGAAAAAAAAGCACTGATTTAAAACTAGACATTGAACGCCCCTGACCACATTCTGCCTGGAATACAAGAACTGCCATTATGGTCAGAATTCTGACATTTTTACAAAATTTTGTCTATTCTGACAAAATCCAGACTTTACTGAATAATCTTGTGGTTTGGCAGAATTTATTTACATTCTCAAAAATATATATTTAAAATACATTGTATTTTTTTTCCTTGCACATAAACTATAGAACCAAGTATTCAATAATTGTTCTTTAAAGCATTAATTCATATTTTAGAATTTCCATCCACCTTGCCTCTCAAATGCTGTATGATAGTAAAGTGTAAGGGCATTACCTGCTTTTTGAGTTTAGAAGATTTCTTTTCTTTAGCTCCTCTGCAATGTCTTTGTCATCTACAAAAATTACATGAGCGGGCATCTAAAATCGAATATATATGTTTTAGTACTAAGTTATGTAGAATAGCTTCATTAAAATGCAATATTAATAAATCATAGGTGGTAAACTCATTGTATTGTTCCTTGTTAATGTTCTCGGGGTGTTTAAATGAGCAATTGAAAACAAACTAACATAATATATAATGATCAGCCACAACATTAAAACCAACTGACTAATATTGTCTATGTCCTCCTAGTGCTGCCAAAACAGCTCTGATGCGTCAAGGCGCGAGGCATGGACTCCACAAGACCTCTGAACATGACCTGTGGTATCTGGCACCAAGACATTAGCATTAACATTATCCTGCTGAAAGAGGCCACTGCCATCAGGGAACACCATTGTCACGAAGAGCTATATGTGGTCTGCAAACTTTAGGCAGGTCGTATGTATCAAAGCAACATCCACATGAGTGTCAAGACCCAGCACCTGATTTAGAGGAAATTGTGATTCATCAGACCTGGCAGCCTTCTTCCATTGCTCCAAAGTCCTGTTCTGATGCTCACATCCTCATTGAAGGTGATTTAGGTTGTAGACAGGGATCATCATGGCCACTCTGATCTGCGGCTATGCAGCCAGCAAATTGTGACGCACTTTGTGTTCTGGCATCGTTCTATCCTGGTCAACATTAGGTTTTTCAGCTCTTCTGCGTGATCTGACTGGCCAGGCTAACCTTTGCTCCCCACATGCATCAGTGAACCCTGGGCGCCCATGACGCTGGTTTACTAGTTGTCCTTCCTTGCACCATGTTTGGTAGGTACTAACCACTGCATACCAGAAACACCCAACAAGCCATCACTATTTGGTCCTTGTCAAAGTCCCTAAGATCTTTTCACTTAAAAAAAAGTTGGATCTTGTATATAGTAAGTTTTAACTTTCGGTTATCTGTGTTTGCTGACTGCCTGTAACCAATGTTTGCCTTTGTAGAGTTTTTCAATAGATCTCAGTTTAACAGAAGGGACTCAAACATACAATATATCTATAGATTATGTAATTAGACCCGGTAATTCTATTGTACAGACATTACAGCAATGTAGTAATATCCAATTATAGTAGATTTTTATATCACCAGCTAATTCTGCCTAACGTTAAAAAAAGAGATATAAAACATGCCTATAACAGTGTCTCTATAGTATTAATATTTCAGTATCACTATGTTAATATTCTATTACGCTAAATAAATTATGATTTTAAAAAACATGTCTGCATAGTCCCACTGTTCTATATACAAAAAATAAAAACTTTATCATGTACACTTATGCAAAATGTACAGGTTTAAACCACAAACAAAATGGTAACAACTGATTTTAAAGTGCAGTTTGTGTAAAACATTTGTGTTGCACTATATACAAGGAACAAGTTTCACCTCCGGAGGAATGATTTGATTTTCTGGTGATTCCTCAGAATTGGCTCCCCTCTCTGACAGAGGTGATTGGACCTGAGCAATCATACTGGTGTCAAAATCTTGCTCTTTCGAGGATGCTGTTATTTTAATCTGCCATGATTTTGTTTGACCAAATGTCCCTAGAAACAAATCACATAAATTAATGAACATGACTTTAAAGTGGCTCAGACACTTTTCAGTATTTCTTAAAGATAGAATAATCTAGGAAATACTTATAATGACCATGTTGAAATTTCACTGAAATTCCAGCACAAATCAAAAGATCAGATAATCAGAGACTTCTTTTTTTATTTAAGGTCCAGGTTGAGAAAAGGTGGAGCATCCATGTAATTTGTCAATTCCTTCTGCCATTGGTGACATTCTGAATTAAAAGGTTAAATGAACACTCCAATGCAATTTTTTTTTTTTTACAACAAAAACAATTTTGTAGGTATGCCCCTAAAGAAAACATGCATGCATTTATTATTTTATTGGCAGCAAATCTAAAAACAGCTTGCAAAAGCTGCTGATCACATGTCTGCAGCCTTTGACAAACCTGTGCTGGGGAAAAAGAGGGGGCTTGCAGTCAGTGCCAGGGACATGACCAGTCTTTCATTGGTAATGACAAGCAGCTTCCAGCCCAATTCTCTCATGAGAGTCAGGGAGTCTGCAGACAAAGACCCGCGGGGATAAATGGGCTCTTTGGTTGCATGTGAGCCAACAGGCGCACTGTTACTTGGGAGAAAATGCAAGATCACTGCATACAACACCTGGGCATCCATATAGAGCACAAAAAGCAAAAAGCATGCACATTTATACCAAACCTAGAACATACCCATATATTCTCCTTGCATTGACCACAGCTTCAAGGTGAAATCCGAAGAAGAAGTAATTACCAGCATGTGTTTAATCACAGGTATCACTCTGATTAAAAAAAAAAAATGGTGAGACTTTAAATATTTATTGAACAAATACTGAAGTTTCTCACGAAATAAGTGAAATATCAGAAGTGTAACTAAAGTACAGATTAACAGATGCGTGCTCTGCCGTCCCCCCTCCAAATTAAAAGGCTGCCAGATTCTACTCCACACCAACACAATCTTTATCTGATGCCAGAACCTGAAGGAGCTGTGTAAAGTACTCGATCTCTTCTTTACTGCTCCTAGGAAAGTATGTGATAGATGGCAGTAAAATGTAGGTCGCATTGTCACATATATCATGTGATCATTGATTATGGCAAGGAGGCTGCAAATGTTGGCTTTAAACATTTCTTAGTTGGTTTATTGGTTTTATTTGAATACTAGAACAGGTGAATTAATATTTTATTATACCAAATCTAACACTTATAACCTCTACAATCCAGCTTCCATTTCCACGAGCTGCCCAGTTCCCTTCTAGATCTCACATTTATTAGCTGGTCCCTCCAAACCCATTCAGTCAGTCTGTTTCTCTGTGACACACAGTCTTGTAACACCCTTTAGTCAGTGTCTGCAGTGCTGTACGGAATATATTAGTGCTATATACAAATGCTAATACCATTAATAAAAAGAATGGTTCCAATATACCTGGTGATATTATGCTGGTGTGCTCTCCAACAATGAAGCACTATTTAAAGAGAAATAAAGACATAATATTAATTTTAGCAGTTCATGTACAGGATCTCCCAGAAGATACCATCATACAGCTCACAGCAATCCATTATGTATATATATATATATGTATCTTACATCTCACATGCATTATTCCAGTATGTACAATGCAAAGCATGTAACTCACATGTAGGGGGCTCCACCTCTGGTTCTTGCAGAGCATATTGTGATATTTCCCAGAGATACACATAATGCATGTTGTCCGCTGCACACAGGAGGGATCCATCTTCACTGATAGCTAGGTCACTCACTACAGACATATAATGGGACTGCAAAACAACAACGGACAATGTCAGCAGGCATCAGAACTATTGTACTGCAATCACCTGGCAGGGATCGGCATGTGACACTTTAAAGGAATACTATAGTATTACGAATATAAACGTGTTCCTAACATTATGTTGCTGGAGTATCGGTTTAGCCCATCCACCCTTTCAAAATGGAGTAAAACGGTTTTAAACCTACCTGTTCTCCATTGCTGCCAGGGGCTTCAGCCAAAGGTTACATTTTATGGCCCCTCCCAATTAGGTTGATTTAAGCCCTCTAATATTCCCACTCTCGCTCTATATCCAACATCAACTTATGCTTTGAATGGTTTAAGAGTTTTACAGTCCTCTATATTTTCAGACATAGAGGCACACAATTATAGAGAAACAGACATACAGCCACAACACACACTCACACATGCTTATTCAGCCCTTGTGCAAACAAGTTCCCTTCGTAAGATGCCTTTCTCCTACCCTTTTGCTATTCTGTGGAAATACTTGCCAACTCTTGGGGGTCCACTGATTCCTTTTACGTGTGGAGTTCAAATCTTGCTCCCTATATGTAGCCCTAAGTGTGCTGCCCCCACAATTAAAAGGCAGCGTTGACATTAAAAGGCCTGCAGGGACAGGCTATAGACACAAGAACCACTACATTAATCTGAAGTGGTGACTATAGTGTGCCTTTATGACTGAAGTATATAAGGCATTCATGGGGCAAAGCTCTAAAGGTTGTTTGGTCAGTCCTACAGGTGCTTCACTTTCAGACATTTGCTTCTAAACTGCCCTTTGCACAAAACCTCTTGTACCGGTCATTAAGGAGACATTTTATTACAGGGAAAGGCCTGAATCCAATTACCGTAACTCATGTTATAAATATTCAACACTTACACCAGCAAACCTCCCAAAGATACTGCCTCCACCAGAAATATTCCAAAAAGTGATCTGTCCTGGAAAAAAAATATATATATTCCTGCATTAAGGCATCACAATCACATTAAGTAAACTGGCAAAAATATATCTCTCTACAACGCTCTACAATGTACACATGTACTTTAATCACAAAATAAAACATATAACTGAGCAAAAAGAAGAAGATTGTACGTGCCAAAGCTATCTTTGTAACTATTATTATTATTAGCATTTATGTAGCGGCAACATATTCCATAGCGCTCTCTCCACTTTGTAAGAACTATTTCATTATTGTGCCATTTTTTTCTCAATGAAACAATTTTTATTTTATTTTTTCAAAAAAAGGTTTAACATTGTAAAGTTAATACAATGAAGATGAAGTGACTTTAGAGGTCAGTTAAGGAAAAGTGTCAGGTAATTTTTTTTGATAATAGAAGGATAACAGTACATTTAAAATGATTTTTGATAATCAAGATTAAAAAGAGGAAAAATATGTGTTTTTATCAGAGTATTTAGAGGTGAAAGTTGTTTTCCTCGTAACATTTGCCCTATTTTGAGTGAGAAATAGGGGGATATTTTACTAGACACTTCATGTCTTGTCTTACATAAACCTCTGGAAGATTAATTTGGCTAATTTCATGGTACTTGTGGCATTGTAGCTGCACATTCACTGGGAGATATATATCTCACACCACATTGCAAGATTTCTCCCATTGTGGATATAGATTATAATGTATGGATTTTATGGGTGATTGCAAACTGACAGTTTGTATACGTTGGAATCCCAAGAGACACTGAAAGAGCTTCAGTAATGAACTGACTGTAACCTAACTCCATAGACAATGGAGCTACGTCTAATAGTCATTAAAAAAATATTGGAGCTACGTTACAGTGGTCTCTAATGGCCCAAACCACAAACGGAGTTCCACACTAGAAGTAATAAAAGGTTAAATATATTGTACAAGTTAAAAAACCATGCCACACAAAAATTCATCTAAAAAAATATAACTAAATAATACCATATTATGTAGCAAAAGTATTCATATATGTAACGTATATTTATATTAAAGTGTATGTCTCAATACTTCCTCAAAAAGAGAGAAAAGATTTCAGTGTTAGCGTCATCTTCAAAAGAGGTAACATATTTATGTATATTTAAGTAATATATATTATTGACATATTTGGAGATATATTATGAATACAAGACTGATTAATGGGACTGGATTGTCTTATTAGGGAAGGGGGGCTTACTATGCTTATCAATTAGCAATATTCCCATAGACTGTTATGGCGGAATTCATATTTATTGAACAGAGTAAACCTTTAGCCTACTAATAATCCAATCCATTCAGTATGGATGAGAAAAGTCCTTAAAGAGTCTCCACATAGTTAAACGTTCTAAATAAAAAAATTTACAAATATATTAATTAATTGTAAATGATTAACAGACATCAGAGGTATTCAAATAAAAAACAAGTAAAGTATTTGTTATATGCAGAATTTACAGATATTGCATTTGAAAACCGTTAAATCAGTGCTTGTTTTTCTTTTTGACTAAAGATATATTGGTATTCTGCACAGGTAAAGCTTTTCAATGTCTGCCTCCATAATAGTAGCAAGAGGCAAACAAGGCATTTGCCTTGGGTGGCATTTTCCAGGGGGTGGCAAAAAAAGCCGCCCCCCAAATGCCAAGGGCAAATGTCTTGTTAGCCTTGCAGCTAACTAAAAAAAAATCCAGTCGGGCGGGTGGGCGGCGCTGGCGAGGGAGCACTTTCCCCTGAGCTCTCTGCTCAGCTCCCTCGCGCGCCGCAGAGTGATTCCGGGATACGGAATATGACATCATATTCCGGCTCCCGGCATCACTCTGTGGCGCGCGAGGGAGCTGAGCAGAGAGTTCACTAATCAGTGCTCCCTCGCCAGCGCCGCCCGCCCAGCAGCCAGCAGCCACTGGACCCCAGGGAAAGGGAGAACCCCCCAGCCCCCAGCATTCCTAAATGTAAGGAGGCTGGGGGAGGTTGAATTTAAAAAAAAAAGTGAGTGTGTGTGTGTCTGTTGGTGAGTGTGTCAGTGTGTCTGTTAGTGAGTGTGTATTTGTCTGTTAATGTGTATGTTTGTCTGTTAGTGTGTGTGTTTGTTAGTGAGTGTGTATCTGTTAGTGTGTGTATGTCAGGGAGTGTGTCTGTTAGGGAGTGTGTTACTATGTGTGTGTCTGTTAGTGAGAGTGTATGTGTGTCTGTTAGTGAATGTGTGTGTCTGCTAGTGACTATATGTGTCTGTTAGTGAGTGTGTATGTCAGTGAATGTGTGTGTGTATTTAAAAGGCGGGGCAGGGTGCCTGAGTTTTGTAATGCCTAGGGCAGCACAAAACCAGGATACACCACTGCCAAGAAGTAGAAATGGAACTTACCTTGTGGGCCACTGGCAACTAAAACAGCGGATTCATCCTTCTGTTCAGTCCTTGTGTGGATGAAAGCTATTTTGTTTATGATTAAATCATCTGCAAATAAAAGAATACCTGCTTGTTATAGATGGCCTTTAAGAGGAGCCACCATACTTACAATAAAGAGCACGCCAACTTTAATGATTTTATACTTCTGTGGTAATCAGTTTTTCCTTAAAGGGTTACTACAAACATTATAACCAGTATAGCCAGTACTGCTTTCCTGCATTTCCCTTTTTACCCACCATACCCCCAGAAGCAGGAGACTCGGGTTTGGGAAGTTTAAGCAGACACACGCAAAACAAACAAGCGCCAGAAATTCTATCATTTCATCTATTATAACCAGTACAGCCCACTGTGGTTGTTATGGTGCTAACTGTACCCTGTTGCGGTTTTCCAAAAGAATGGAATGCTCTTTTATTTGGGTCCCTTAAAGACTGCATGAGAACTCTTGCTGATGGTGCTACCCGAAGTGTAGTTACATCTCAGGCAGCAATTTAAAATATCTCTGTATGTGCAGCTAAAATAAACACACACAGACTCCACTGAAGTGGTCATTGTGCTTGGAGTAATCTTTTAATAGAACACTATATAGTGTTAGGAATATCAACATCTATTCCTAATGCTATAGTTTTAATCAACCTATTTAGGTTCTCCCCGACACCTGTGAGGGTGCCCTCAGTGGTGGGACCGCTGCAGGTCCGTGAATTGCCTGTCTGATATGATGTGTGTTTCCCCATCTTTTCGTATCTTCTACCTGCTCCCCGTTCAGGAGTGCTTCCACGAAGGGAATCCATTCGCCTCCCAAACGGGGACCACCCCGATACCCCATTTAGAATATTAGCTAAGAATCTTCATACCTTGCAACATAGTGTCAAACCGCAAACGGAAAGGGAAACAATTAGTGAGCACACTTCCGGCTGGCCACCATTCGTGCAGAGTTCGTGGATTTTTTCCCAACTCGTTTGTTTCCCAAACGAGGACTTCCCCAGTGCCCCATTAGAACATTCACACCAATGAATCAGAGCATTCGCACTTGCAACATAAGTGGCCGCCATTTCGTACAGACGAATACCGTCCAGGGGGAGCAGGGTTTCACACAGAGACCTCACGAGCGGAGCTTCGAGATTGGTGTGGGCACTTCTGGGGCACTGGGGAGTTAGGCGGGCTTTGCGGTGCCTGCCGGGACAAAGAGACCTTCTCTTTTCCTGCAGGCGGGCTCTCTGTACCTGCGAGCCAAAGGACGGTCCTTAAGGACACATGGCATGTGTGACATGTTATGATTTCCTTTTATTCCAGAAGTTTGGGCCTTAAGGGGTTAAACAGGGAATAATAGTGTCCTATTCTTGTACTAACGGAGAACATAACCGCTACTACGTTTTAGCAATATTTCATGAAAGATGATATATAAGAGTTGATGTACCAGCATCTGTTCCATTCTCTGGCTCCTCACATGTAGAAGCAATTAGACGGTTTAATATGTGCCCCGATGCCAGATTCCACAGCATGATTTCACCATTATAACTGGTTGTTGCTACGAGATTTGGTGGTAAGAAAGCAACACAGAACTTTCCTTCTTCATTCTCTTTTCGCTGTGCATTGAAGGAAAGACACCAGAATGGACATTTATATTAACAGCCATTTGTTATATGTAAATGTATACATCTAGTTTAGTGGTTTGTAAAACGTTTAACTGAAGGCATTTCAAGTTGCAGTCATTGAAGTTGTTCACATACATTTATACAGATAGTTATGAACAGGAGCTGGAGGAAAGCAGAGTTCTTTGTAATGCTATTTTAGGTGGAGGTCAGAAAAAGTAAAAGAGACACTCCACACACTTGCTGAAGTGCTTTATAAATCTCTAAAAGGTTTGTTGTGCCTTTAAGACAAATTGTTTCATGTGCCAATAACACATCAACCTGTTTTATAGATTTACTGTCAATGCATTGTGCACTTTGTAGTTAAGCACATTATATATGGATGATATGCTATTGGCGCATGAAACAATTTGTTTTAAAGGCACAGCACACCTTTTTGGGGTTTATATTACTTGAAGTGTTTTTTGGGTTATTGCACTTTTCATGGTGCTGCTTGATAATATAATTACTTGTAATTTTATTCAGTGCAATTTTTTTACTTATAATTTTGGTTTTTATTGAAGTGCTTTGTGTGTGAAGATTGTGTGCTCTTTTTCATTTTACAAAAACTGCAGATTCCAACAGAAATTTTATAAAGTAACCTTGTTACGCCCCCAGACAATCAGTGCTATTACTTTCTAGTTTGTTTAACTCAGTTGAACTAAACTGAAGAGGAAGCAACTGCTCAGAACATGTGCCTTACAAAGACTTCTCATTGAGCTGCATTGGACAGTCACAGAAGAGGAGGGCTTGCAAAGACTTTAGATAAGAGATCTGCAACATTTGCAAGTTATTTTTATAGATTTACCCTCAATTAAACTGAAGGTACACTCCAGGCACCAAAACAACTTCATCTAAATAAAATTGTTTTGGTGCTAGGAAGCTAATGGAGGCACTCTTTCTTGAACGGTTCTCAAATGGTTTAACCCCAAAGTCTCTTCCAATGGTGATGCTCACTCCTCCACTGGCGGCATCCGGCTTCAGAATTTTAAGATTCAGGAAGCACGAAGTGCCCCCAGGCAGGGGCCCTGCTGATTGGCTGAGAGCGGTCAGCTGACAATCTCAGCCAATCAGTGACTCCCCATTCACTAAACTGGCTTGGAAAGAAACATACCTTTCTCAAGCAAGTTTAGTGAATGGGTAGTCACTGATTGGCTGAGAGCGACAGCTGAATCTCAAATTTCTGAAGCCAGATGCCACCAGGGGAGAAGTGGACATAACTCCTTCAGGTAAGAGTGTCTCCAGGGACCTCCTGGCACCAAAATAACTTGTTTTATCGTTTTAGATTAATTGTTTTGGTGCCCATGGAGTGTACCTTTAAATGGATGCCTGTTTTCATTGGCTACCAAACAAAAATTTGCCCAATAAGATGCATTGCTCATGCAAAGGTAAGATTCACCAGAGTATGCATAATGCTAGAAATAAAATATTATGTACGGTTTTTGTATAAATAACTGTGTATTTGGTCATTGTCAGGATGAACCAGTGACCCAACATGCAGAATTAAGTAATAAAGACAAACCGTAACAATGTATTATCAGGCTTTAGAATGGCCGGATTTAATGTAATAGAATAAACATTCACGAGCCGTCAGGAATACAGAAAGGAACATATACGATAAGAACAAAGCCAAAGGGTCAGGGATCCCAGACATATGGGAAGTCAAGCTAAGCCAAGATCAATAAACAGTATCAGGAACGCGCTCTTGGATAACCGACAGGATGGAAACCCTGACAGGGCACTGAATCAATGCAGGTTTGGGTTTAAATAAACCAGAAAATCCTGCTATTGGTTGTTTTGGGTCCCATGACCGCAGAACGTGCATGCTTGGCGAAAACGTGATGCCGCACACACGTTCACGTCATTAGTGACGTCATTGTGGGCGGCATTATTATATAGAGCTGCCTTGCAGCAGCCTTTCTAACGCTGGACCTGGCCGCTGTATGGAGAACTGCACGGAGGGAGAGGCTCTGGATGTAAGGTGAGTAACCTCTCACTCCTTTAGTGCGACCGCACTGATCTGGCACCGTGACAGTCATATGTTTACCTTTGTGTCTTAACACTATGTATAAAGATGTCTAAATGGGCTTTATAGACAAAAACAGAATGCTCACATTTGCAACATTTCTTCTTAAATTTGTAATCTTTTATTAGAGTGTAGATAACGCCAGGTACAGGAAGATGGAGAATTGTGGTTGGATAATGTAATGTAAAAAGTGGTGCAAGGAATCCTTTTATATATATTATAGTAAAAAACAGAAATAAGTGCTATCTATCTATAAATAAGCTGCAATTCACCAACAAGGTTAAGGTTCCCTTAACCTTGTGAAAAACAAAACAGATATATACAATAAAACAGATGTTCACCTTTTTATTGTATATATATATATATTATAGGGCTGTAGTTACACCTTGAGCATTGAAAGGTAGAGAAACCCTCCCATGCATTTGTCCAAATCCACTCCCCCCCCCCAAAAAAAGCAAAAATAATTTAAATATGATAGAAAATGGTGTATACACACAAACACATACAGTGAGTGTGTCTGTATATGTAGGTGTGCATGTGTCTGTATCTATCTCTGTGTGTGTATGTCTGCATGTAGTATGTACCTTAACGAGGTGGCCATTTAGTTGTTTATTGGGCCTGCTGTAAGAGGTGGCCATTCCTGCTCTATTTCTCCCCCCTTTCTCCCTCCTCTCATTGTGGCAGTTGTAGGTAGATATCTAAAGGAGGGTAGGCAGGGCCAAGCAGAGATCTCACATAGTCCAGGAGCCATGATTCATGTCTTGATAATCAAAGAAAATACCAAGTGCTTCGGGGGGGGTGCACAGGGAGTTTTGGTCAGGGTATTGTAAGAACCCAAGGTCCACCATTTGGACATGCTGTTAGACAGGTGTCTACTCTCTCTGTCTAATTATACAATTGCCCTCGAAAACACTAATTATGTTGTTAGACTACTTCTCTCATTCGAACACTTTTGCTATGTTAAACTCCTAGCAACTGTCTTGTTAAACAACACACTTTCTCAAGCTACATTAGAATACTGCGAGCAACAAGACACAAGTGAATTAAGATACATAGCTGTGGAATTAGTAGGCGCCTTATATGTAATAATAATATTATATACATTTGTAAAATTCTGATAATCAGGCACAAATTCTTTCTTTTAGAATTAGATGGAGCCAAACAATCTAATTACATCCACTTCATTTTAGCAGCCCATCTGTAGCTCATCAGGCAGCCCATCTGTAGCTCATCAGAGATCATTAACTCTGTAGTACTATAGACAATAACAAACTGCATTTGTATTTAGTGCTAGTAAACAAACAGTTTTAGTATTTAATTCCCAGTCAAGTTACCAGCATGTCGAGATGTGCTATCTCCCATAGGGCACCAACTGTCACACTTCCAATTACCTTAAAGCATTATTATCACCAAATGTGAAGGACACTAAGCTTCACTACTCTTTCTCTTGCTTTCACTAATCATCCTCTGAAACTTGGATTTACATCAGTGGTTTTCAAGCAGTGTGAGGTGGCATACTAGTGTCCCTCAATGAAATTTCAACAAAATTCCAATCCAGTCAGCGTGTGTATTTCATAAAGAGCTTACAGCTTTATAAAATCATCTTTCAACAAAAACAATTAATGGGACAGCCGGAGCACCAGAATAATATCGCAATGAAGTTGTTATGGTGCAATGATGTCCCAGGCACCTTGTTACCAGAACAGATTAAACTTTAAAAGGAATGGTTTAACCCCAAAGTCTGACAAAGTCTAACGGCCACTGATGATGATCAGTTGTTGCTCTCAGCCTGTCAGTAGCTTGCATTTAGAAAAGTGAGTAAAAGAAGATATGTAAAGAAGTTGTTATGGTACAAAAAGTGGTCCTTTAATTATTTTCCCTGCTACTTTCTCCCTTTTCCCTTCGTTCACTCCTGCTCTGGTTTAATGCGGTCTACAAACTATGCTGTTGATGCATATGCTATTCGTATTTACTTTGTAATACTAAAAGGACAGGCGTGATTTTGTATACTTAAGTAAATCTTTGAATTAAAGGGACACTATAGTCACCTGAACAACTTCAGCTTAATGAGGTTGTTCAGGTGAGAACTATAGCTCCCTGCGGCCTTTCTCATGTAAACACTGTATTTTCTGAGAAAATACAGTGTTTACATTGAAAGCTAGAAACAGTTGCAGTCACTCAAAGTGAACCAGAGGGACTTCGGAGTTGATGGAGGAATAATATGCCTCCATCCACTCAGATCTGCTGTCAGCAGAGCACAGGGCAGCACTGTGCACAGCATCCTGTGATTCAGTATCTCCTCCCTGTGCATGCAGACACTGAACTTTCCTCATAGAGATTCATTGATTCAATTTATCTCTATGAGGAGATGCTGATTGGCCAGGGCTGTGTTTGAATCAAGCTGGCTCTGCCCCTGATCTGCCTCATTGTCAGTCTCAGCCAATCCTATGGGGAAGCATTGTGATTGGATCAGGCTACCACATGTCAGCAGACTGCTTGTTTTTCTGAGTCTAACAGCATGCAGATTTACAGCTTCAGGCTTGAATACAGTAAGATTTTTACCATATTTGTTTATGGAGGCATGGAGGGCCCAGGGGGGCTAGATGGTGGTGTTAACACTATAGGGTCAGGAATACATGTTTGTGTTCCTGACCCTATAGTGATTCTTTAAGTGTTAGACTTGGTATTCTTTACCATATTGTTAATCAAACTGCACTGTGGATATTCATCTTCAGATATCACTGCATCTTGATGATCCTTTGGAGAAAAAAAAGATAATAGTTATTACAGCTACATACTACATACAGCAACACAAGTACATCCAGGGCAATTCTGAAAAGCCAGACAGTGACCCTTTTAGGGAATATCCCTAACTGGAATTACTATTGATATCAACATGTATACTACAACAGGGGTGCCAAAAAGATAGAACTCCAGACATTGTAGAACTACAGCTCCCATAATGCCTTTAAGAATGCTTTTAGAATGCCAAAGCATAATGGAAGCTTTAGTTTTAAAACATGTGGGGATCTACCTTTTGGGCACGCCTGTACTACAAGAAGTAAAATGATGATAGGCAGGGGTTTATTTTCTGAACAACAAATTATAGTGACCTGAAAAATGAATTTCAAAGCTTAGGCAAAAAGTTCAGATTAGAAAATATTATACTAATAAGCTATTTTCAGGCTGAATATTCTATGAATTTTGCAATTCAGTATTAATTACCCATAATTTGATATGTATTTATTAATTCCCACAGAGTTATGCACTTGGGAATTGCTAGGGATTCAAAGTTAAGTGTGCTGTAGTGGTTATGGTTCCTTGAGTGCCTTCTTAACTTTGCTTTGTCAGGTGCCATTCATCACCTCCATTATAAACAACTAAAAAGAAGTCAAACCGTTCTAAAATAGTTTCACTACTTACAATGGGTGGCACCAGGAAACTCCTGGTACCATAGCCATTACAGTGCATTGCAGTTGTTAAAGTGTCTTTTGAAAGGGAAACTAAAGTGCAAGTATTAAAAAGTTATATTCCTAGCACTACAGTACCCAATAGTGCCCCCCCACCACCAACCTGTAGCATTGAAAGGGTTAAAAACCCTTCTGTCACTAACCTGATTCGAGGGCTGATATCCCTCGGCATTGGGTCAGGCTCTGCCTCAGCTCATCCTACACCGACATCAGCCGGCAAGGGGTCCTAATGCGTATGCGCGGCAAGTGCCGCATTTGCTTTAGGACTACCCCATAGGAAAGAATGGGGTTTTTGCTGAACCTTGATGTCCTCGTGCAAAATGTGAAGACATTCAGCTTCAGTTAGGTGACCAAAAGTTGCCTAATGACCTGGAAGTACCTCTAGTGGCTGTTTGAGTTTTGTCAGCACAAAACCAGGATACACCACTGGTAACAATTGCAGTTTATCAATAATTACAGTTGCAGGGTTAAACTGACAGGGACACTGCACCCAGACCACTTAAATGGCCTAAAGTGGTCTGGGTGCCTATAGTTTCCCTTTAACATGCGCATATGACTTATAATTTGGACATCCAACGTTCACTAGTTCTTTTTATGATTCAGGTATTAAAGCCTATATGTTATACCTTATTTGAATTGTACCATTCTGTGCATGCAAATGTGAGTTATCCCTTTTCATTAGTGTTATGCTTTTCTAATTACTATAGTCATGTGTGTACAGCAGTTAACACTTACTGGGAAAATACTGATCCTTCTGTCACATCCAATAGAGATAATATACCTAGAGTGCAAAATGGCATCACAATTAATTACAAATACATTAAATTGAAGTGTACATTTTGTGTGGTATACCTTATTGGATAATTGTAAATAAATAAAAAGTACACATACCAATGATATACGTTCAATCTTCATACAGACTTAATGCTGGTAATTATATTTATACAAATAACGATCCTTTACTTTACAATTGCTATGTTAAATTCTCAGATACCAAGGCATCTAATAATAAACAAAAAGGAATGTGTAATGATTTAAAGGGACACTATAGTCACCCAGACCACTTAAGCTCAATGAAGTGGTCTGGGTGCCAGGTCCCTCAGGTTTTAACCCTCCAGATGCCAACATAGCAGTTTCAGAGAAGCTGCTATGCTTACATTTGGGGTTAATCCAGCCTCTAGTGGCTGTCTCCCTGATGGCCACTAGAGGCCGCTTCCGCGACGCTGGAGGCACATTTCTCCTCCATCGCGCAGAGCTTCCATAGGAAAGCATTGAGAAATGCTTTCCTATGGACAATTTGAATGCGCGCGCGGCCAGTGCAAACTGTTATATCCTAACCTGTTCTTTAGCAGGAATATACAACAGACAAGTGGTCATCCATTGAGGCTGGAAAAGATAAATTTTTGCTTACTGCAAAAGAAAATGTTCTTTACAGTAAGAAGAATAAAGGTATGGAATTCTGTGCTTAAAGAGGTTGTCTTATCAGATTCTGTAGATATTTCTAAAAAAAAGACCTACATGGCTTGTTTGAGAAAACACATTTTTCAAAACTTTATTTAATATACATGCGAACAGGTTGCTATGCCAGGGAGAAATCTGATTGCCATTATGAAGTCAAAAAGGATATTTTTTCCTTTTTGTGTACTGTGGTAGAAGCTACAGGGTGTCTAAGACAGGTTCAGTACTCACATGGCTAAAACTGCTGTGCAACTATCTTGGACCAGGGCACATGTGTGGAATGTCAGGAACGCCCACTATTAGATAACATGTGTAAGAGATTAGTTTTAGTTTAATAATTGGATGTAACCATAGTAATGTAGTTGTAATTTTTGTATTCTTTGTATACGTATGGAATACGTCATTTGTGGTATATATTCTTTCTTCTCTTGTAAACATTTGCTCAGTCAGGTATTCCAAGACTATTGTCTTACTGAGACTTTGCAGTTGCAAAACAATAAATAACCTTTGTTCTTCAACAACCTGTTTTACATTCATTATTGTAGCCTCTTTGTTAATTAGGAGTAGCTATGATCAAGCCAACCATGACCTGAAGAGAATGCCAGTCAATATTAAAAAGAAAAGGCAGGTTTTGCAGCACACTAAGAATTGCAACAGGTGAAAACGTAAGCAGATAAGTATATCACAGACTGTGCTGTTGACAGGCCACCTCTATTTAGAAACAGCGATGATGACAAAATGAATAACCAACAGTTAAATCACAAAGCATGCGTACCGTATACCATGCAGTTCTGCATAAGACAAGTCACTGCATTCATCTTTTGAAGTAGCTGAAATAGAAAAAAGGAGAACAACTCACATGTGCTGTTACGCAGCTTTGCTAATATCTGGATGGCAATATTGAAAAATAGTAAGTTCTGGACAAACCTGTTCTTCCTGGTGCAAGAGTTTGCATGAAGTTAACAGAGTTTGGGATGCAATTCCACTGCTTCAAACCTCCATCCTTTCCACCTGTTACAATTCTGAAAATAAATGTTTTTTATTGCACAACAGGATTTAAACAAGAACATTTCTATAGATCATTATTATGAGAATAGGATTTCTTATCCTAGACTTTTTTTTTTAATCTACTGTACGGTATATGGACACATTGTATGGAAACTGGATGCTTAACGATGTCAAAGTAGAATTCAGCTTTCTGCTTTTCTCAGTTTTCAGCCCCAGATGTTTGGTTTGGCAGCTTTAAATAAGCAAGAATTTTATAAATAAGCCCAATTTAAGTTTTTTTTGCAAAATGAGCACTTTTTGCCTATTCAGTGCTTGTTTAAGTCCTTGTGGATTGTGGACTTCACATGCCATTTAGAATAAAGGTCCCACAGACCACATATTTTTGGTGCAGTTTCAGAAACATTGCCAGGCAAAATCCATGGAGTAGTATGTATGTAACTTCTCTGCACCTAATTTTGCTCAACATTACAAAGTAACACTGACGCTATACATTGTGGCATATGGTTAATGGCACGCTTGCTGGGTACACTGGGTTAATGGCACACTTGCTGGGCACACTGGGTTAATGGCACACTTGCTGGGTACAATGGGTTAACGGCACACTTGCTGGGCACACTGGGTTAATGGCACACTTGCTAGACACACTGGGTTAATAGCACACTTGCTGGGTACAGTGGGTTAATGACACACTTGCTGAGCAAACTGGGTTAATGGCACACTTGCTGGAAACACTGGGTTAATGGCACATTTGCTGGAAACACTGGGTTAATGGCACACTTGCTGGGTACAATGGCTTACTGGCACACTTGCTGGGCACACTAGGTTAATGGCACACTTGCTGGGTACAGTGGGTTACTGGCACACTTGCTGGGTACAATGGGTTAATGGCACACTTGCTGGACACACTGGGTTAATGGCACACTTGCTGGATACAGTGAGTTAATGGCACACTTGCTGGACACACTGGGTTAATGACACACTTGCTGGGTACACTGGGTTAATGGCACACTTGCTGAGCACCCTGGGTTAGTGGAACACTTGTTGGGCACACTTGCTGGGAACACTGGGTTAATGGCACACTTGCTGGGCACACTGGGTTAATGGCACACTTGCTGGTTACAGTGGGTTAATGGCACACTAGCTGGGCACACTGGGTTAATGGCACACTTGCTGGGTACAATGGGTTAATGGCACACTCGCTGGGTACACTGTGTTAATGGCACACTTGCTGGGTACACTGGGTTATTGGCACTCTTGCTGAGCAAACTGGGTTAATGGCACACTTGCTAGTTACAGTGGGTTCTCTGGCTATGTAATTTTTTTTACATGCTCTCCTGAGGAGTCTATCCACTAAACTTGGTCAAGCATTATTTATTAAAGGACCACTATAGGCACCCAGACTACTTCAGCTTAATGAAGTGGTCTGGGTGCCAGGTCCAGATAGGATTAACCCTTTCAGAGAAACTGCTATGTTTACACTGAGGGTTAATCCAGCCTCTAAAGTGGCTGTCTCATTTAGAGGACCACTATAGTGCCAGGAAAACATACTAGTTTTTCTGGCACTATAGTGCCCTGAGGATGCCCCCACCCTCAGGGTCCCCCTCCCGCCGGGTTCTAGGGTGAGGAAGGGTTTAAACTTACCTCTTTCTCCAGTGCCAGGCGGGAAGCTCTCCTCCTCCTCTCCGCCTCTTCTCCTCCTCTTCAGGAGCTGCGCGCGCATTCAGCCAGTGCTTTTACAATGCTTTCCTATGGACGCTGGCATCTTCTCACTGTGATTTTCACAGTGAGAAGCACGCAAGCGCCTCTGGCGGCTGTCAAGAGACAGCCACTAGAGGCTGGATTAACCCTAACATAAACATGGCAGTTTCTTTGGGTAAACTCTAGCTGGACCTGGCACCCAGACCACTTCATTAAGCTGAAGTGGTCTGGGTGCCTATAGTGGTCCTTTAAGGAACTACTAGATTGAATTGCAAGTGTCAAGCTAACAACTAATGGGATCCTGTACAGTCTCCAGTTAATTGATCCAACTTTATAACAGGAGAGTAAGTGATCACTTGAATACCCCTGGTTGCATGCTACAATAAGAGCAATGAAAAGTAAAAGGTGTATGTTAAAGGACTACTAAAGTCATCCAGGCCACTTCAACTCAATGAATTTGTCTGGGTGCAATGGTAATTCTAACCAATCGAGGTAAAACATTGTCATTTTGCAGACACACCAAGGGTTAAACACTCTGCAGGAGCTTTCTCTCTATCCCTATCCATATTAATCACTGTAAGCAAGCAGACCCACTTGGAAACAACAGACCCACTTGGAAACAACAGAGTCCACAAAAAAAAGCCAGCATGTGCGAGGCCTTCTTTCCAATAACAAGCAAACAAGACATCCTGTGACACAAACAGGTGGCACGGCTGGAAATACTCAAGAGTCTCCTTAACATGAAAACTATGAACTGCTATAGACCTGGGCTATGATTTGAACTAAGTGGAGAATTTAAAGCTTAATAACGAGGCAGTTGGCTGTTCTGTAGAGGATAATAACGAATACTGAAAGAGGAAATGGGGATAATTATAGGTGGCGGGTTACACGGCGTGCCAACGATCTGGTGTCATGTTACAAAGTGAGGACAGGGAAAAACAATACATTATACTTTTATAAATGTGGGTTAGCAACTTCATAAGAAAACCGATACATACAAATACAATGTTATGGATATAATGTTTCATTTTACTGACACTTTTGTGAAGTAAGCACACGCAAAGACATATATACTTTTCAAATGTTTGTTTTTATTTCTTTTGCTCATATTTTACTTTTTTCAACTGATTTGCTAGATGATGATATAGAGAAGATAATTTGTTAAAGAAACACTATAGTGTTAGATATACAAACAGGTATTCCTAATGCTATTATGTCCTTCTACGTATCTAGGTGTCACCCTAGTCGTGTTAGGTGAATATTTAAGCCCACATTGCGCTGGACTCCTCACTGCTGCTCCACCTCTTTGGCTGAGATCATCAATGTTGATGAATTGAACTAATTCATGGTTTCCTCATGTGGGAAGAGCTGAAGACTAGTGAGCATGCATGGCAAAATGTCACGCTGAGCCACTCATAACTATTCCTATGAGCAGTATTTGATCTATAACCATATTTAACTTGGTTATTGCTGAGGAAGTACCTCTACTGCCATCTCCTATATTATATCAACTTAAATATTATTGGAATTCATGGGAAGAAAGTGTTAAACAAACATTGTCTTAGTAAATGACACTAATTATTGATCTACGGTGTTGTTTCTTGTTTGTGTAGGTTAATAACCATGTCATTTACTGTATATTGTTATAGTAATTATTCGAAAAGGAAGAGAGACACTAGAGGCATTTAAAACCAGCATTTTAAACATTGCCATTCCATAAAGCTTGTACAGACAGGAGCATTGTCCCTTTAGTGTCCCTTTTAGCTTGGACTGTGCCTTGAGCATTGAAGCTCTCAATCAGAGTTACCTGGTTCCACTGCGGTCCAAGGCTAAACAAGTGATAGGAGAGCTTCCATGAGCTGCTGTGACCTCTGAAACAAGTTGTCCTGTGAGGAGGTCCCACGTCTTTATAACCTGCAAAGAGGAACGATGTTATTTTTCCCAGTGAGCATATGCTGTAGATATGTGCAGCATGTGAACTTCCATGATCGTAGGCATTGTTAGGGGGAATCTATGGGTACTCAAGCCACGGATGTGGGACTCTTTAGCCTTTTTTTTTTTAAATTCTTTTTTTAAATTTTTTTATTAATTTTTCATCATGCAGCTGCTTCTCAAGGCAGCCTTCTGCTAAATATCACTAATCTAGTGCTCTGTGAGACTACTGTGAGGGAGGGTGGGGTGCCCCCTAAGTGACTTCGGAGGGTGTACTGGAGAGCAGAATTTTGCTGCATGCCGCTCCATTATTTAGAAAAAAGAAAGATCAAAAGGCAGATCAAGTGAGTTTCATTCATTTATTAACTGGACATTGTAAGAAAACATTCCAATTTCACAATTGCGTATGTATACATGTATGAGTGTGCATATTCCTGCTTGTAGTGTACTATGTTTGAATCTGTGAGTGTATGCAGCTGTGTAAACGCATGCAGTGTTAAAGATAAGTGGTTATGGTAAAAGAAGGTTTAAGGTTTGAGAGGGGGTTAGCATCACATTTAGATTACATAGGGCATTTAGTGTTGAGAATTACAAGCTTTAAAGCTTAAATGAGATTAAAGTTGTGGAATAAGGGGTATTTGGGATTGTTTGGTTGAGGGATAGAGTGGGGTTTACTTTAGTATTTAGGCCCATGTAATATTTAGGATTATTATTACATACAGAGTTAGAATTGTCTTAACTTTAGTATTAGGTTATATCGTATGGTTAAGGTAAGTTTTTTTCAGGTTTAGACTTTGCTTCAATTTGGGAATACGAAAAGGGTTTGTATAGGTTTTGGGATGGGTTAAACTTACTGTTAGGGCATTTGGGGTCTGAAGGGATATTTGCATATTACTTACCCTCCTATGTCTTCTGTAGTCCAGACACCCTCCTATAATTGATCGTAGACCTACAGGAGCTGTTATACAGTGTGCATCACTCATTTGCTATCCCTTTTCCTCCTGCAAGGCATTACATGTGTGAGAGGCTGTTAGTGTGCAAATAGGAAATTATCTAGTTAACTTCCTGTCCGGTCTCACACACAAGCCTTGGAGGAGCTGGGCACCATTGCATTTTACAACCTCTATAGTCTGTTTCTGCAGCTCTACTATCAAATATAGGGGGTGGATTGGACTGCCATGTACAGTGGCCAAGGCTCCTGGTAATTATTGCTCCCTACCAGCCCACTTATATGCACATTATCAGTGCTGAAAACAAGACATGTGCCTGTAGGCAGGTGCCTACTCGGCCTATTATGAAATCCAGACCCTGCCCTCATTGTTAAAAAGTCACCATACAAAGTGACAGTTCCCTGGGTTCAGCATCATATATTGGATGGGATCTCCTCTACAGCATGTAGTCTTATTACTTACAGATCCCGTGCAGCAGCTTATGACCTGCTGGAGGTTCTGGTTATATTCACAGCAGGTTACAGGCGCATTGTGTGAGAGAGTTGGGACACCAAGTTGTGTGGAGCTGTTGGTGCAATAAAATGGAGAGAATTGAAAGAATAAGAATCAAATGTAAATGATCAACCAACTATGATCTCCGTAACCTGTGGAAAAATTTTCTTTGCATGGCTTCGACTTTGTTGGGTAGGCTTTTCCAAATGTTTTTTATATTTTTGGATAAACCTCTAAAACTTATGTTTTAAATATTAAAATATCAAAAATACATCATATAAAAAAAAATAAGTTTACTAAAAAAAAATATTGAAATTTTACAAAATTTAAATATTTTATATAATATTAAATCCTTTTAAAAGTTTATCCAAAAATATGAAATCATTTTAAAAGCTTATCAAAAAAATATAAAATAAAGACCCATGTTAATAGTGCAGTAATCTGCAGTACTTTAACACAAACACATTATTCCATGAAATAGCTATGATTTTGTTTATTTAGTCTAAGCTTTTCAATTAGTTTAATATTTTTAAAGAAACATTTATGTGTATATATATATATATATATATATATATATATATATATATATATATATATATATATATATATTTAAAAGCATAAAGTAGATAGCACTCCACGGTCTTTTTCATCAATAAGAAATAACTTTTATTGCTCCAAGTTAAAAATCAACATCCTGATGAAAGTCTGAATTTGCAGACTGAAACGTTGATTTTTATCTTGGAGCAATAAAAGTTATTTCTTATTGATGAAAAAGACAGTGGAATGCTATCTACTTTATCCTTCTATATTGAGCAGACTAGCACCAGGCAGTCATTGGAAGACACAGTGAGTGCAGCATTGCTTGTATTTATATATATATATATATATATATATATATATATATATATATATATATATATATATATATATACTAGATATATATTATTGTTTTTAATTTATTCAAAATGTTTAAATCATTCGAAAAAATATGAAATAATTTGAAAAGCTTCTCAAAAAATATTAAAATGAAATCTCTACAATGTCTGCAGATCAACTGCAGGATTATCATTTCAATGCTGCACTTACAGCTGGACAAATTTACAATTTGGGGAATTTAAGAAACATTTGCACAATGCTGATGTTTGTTGTCAGTACAGACTTTTACCATTATTGGAATCACTGTGAACTGCAGACAAAGTTTACATATCTAGAAAAACAGACTATTTAAGGAAAAAAATCGCAAGTTAAAAAAACAATCTTAACAGTCATCATTCAATGGGATCAACAATAACACTATTGAAATGGGTACTCATAATATGACTTTCATATTAACTGCAGGAATCTGCTATGGGATTCACAGCTATCAGTGTTATGTAGAATTAAATCAAACCATAGCCATGGCATCTTACTTTTCCTGGAGTTGAAGTGCAGCAAGGGAATCGGTTGCAATGTACAGAGACCTGAGGTGTGGCGAGAAGCAGCATGTGGCAATTTCCCCTCTGATCTGGCTGGCCTTTGATATTACATTGATCAGACAAGTATGGTCTTCAACATCCCAGACCTATTATTGACAGTCATAACAATCCAGATTGTCACAGTCTTGGCATATACAATGAAACTCAGGATATAGGAAATAAAAAAGGCTAATTGTGCAGAAAGGAATTAAATATTATTAATGTTATTTACAGTGATTGCTTAGCATGGATTTATTACGTTAAGAACACATGAGTATTTAATATCATTTTCATGTTTTTAGGAGTCATACAGGCACAGGAGAAGTGTGCAATGGATAAGAAGAATATTTGTCTAACATCTGTGAACTTTTCGTGAAGCTAATAAGACAGACGTGTCCCATGTATATATTTATATATTTGAAGCAAATTCCACAGTCATTAAAAGAGATGCTGCTAGGAAATGGATCTATCTGCAAGGCTAGTGATGTATCTGTATAACATTGTAATAACATTTTCATAAAGCATACAAGGGATTGTCTAAGTTTACTCTGGGTTCTTCCTTTTATACTTCCTGAAAAATTACTATAAATATCAGAAGGGCAAATGTGACCTTGGGTACTGTATTTTAGTGGACAATTGTCACAAAAACAACTTTAGCTTAATAAAACAGTTTTGGTGTATAGATCATGAAGTCTCACCGCTCAATTCTCTGACACCTAGTAGTTAAATCACTTTGTTTATGCAGTCCTAGTCACACCTCCATGCATGTGACTTATACAGCCTTCCTAAACACTTCCTGTAAAAAATCGGAAAATGAAACCATTTTTTTTTTATGGAGGCTGTGTCAGTCACAGTCAGGGAAGGTGTGGCTAGGGCTGCATAAAAAGAAACAAACGTTATTTAAATCCTAAATGGCAGTGAATTGAGCAGTGAACCTTCAGAGGCATGAGCTATACAATAAACCTGCTTAATTAAGCTAAGTTGTTTTGGTGACTATAGTGTACCTTTAAGGCGTGTAATGACAGTGGATGATTGTGTTTACCTTAGCAAACTCTAAAAACAGCTAGTAGGACTAGTAGCATCCCAAGAAGCCTCTTGGTTCCAAATGATCACCCATTGTGTGAAAGCATGGTTATTTCCTTAAGGCCAGATATGCAAAAGGCCAACTGAAGACAAAATTAGACTATCCTAAGACTAAATTTGAACAAAATCAAAACTAAAAAATCCTGCTTATTGATTTGAATTTATGGATTGACCCATATCAGCCCAGTTAAAAACTAACAGTCTTAAGGGACCACTAAAGTCATCCAGACGACAATGAAGTGGTCTGGGTGCAGTGATCCTGTAGCTTAAACCTTTAATGCAAAACATTGCCATTTTCTTTAAATGGCAATTTCTCCATTAGTGAGTTAAAGGACCACTATAGTGCCAGGAAAACATACTCGTTTTCCTGTCACTATAGTGCCCTGAGGGTGTCCCCACCCTCAGGGACCCCCTCCCGCCGGGCTCTGGGGAGAAGAAGGGGTTAATGGAATATATTCGAAGCTTGGACTTGTCACCAGAGGGGTACCTCAGGGATCTGTACTTGGACCCATTCTCTTTAATATTTTTATTAGTGATATTGCAGAAGGTCTTGATGGTAAGGTATGTCTTTTTGCTGATGATACTAAGATATGTAACAGGGTTGATGTTCCAGGAGGGATAAGCTAAATGGCAAATGATTTAGGTAAACTAGAAAAATTGTCAGAATTGTGGCAACTGACATTTAATGTGGATAAGTGCAAGATAATGCATCTTGGACGTAAAAACCCAAGGGCAGAGTACAGAATATTTGATAGAGTCCTAACCTCAACATATGAGGAAAGGGATTTAGGGGTGAATATTTCTGATGACTTAAAGGTAGGCAGACAATGTAATAGAGCAGCAGGAAATGCTAGCAGAATGCTTGGTTGTATAGGGAGAGGTATCAGCAGTAGAAAGAGGGAAATGCTCATGCCATTGTACAGAACACTGGTGAGACCTCACTTGGAGTATTGTACACAGTACTGGAGACCGTATCTTCAGAAGGATATTGATACCTTAGAGAGGATTCAGAAAAGGGCTACTAAACTGGTTCATGGATTGCGGGATAAAACTTACCAGGAAAGGTTAAAGGATCTTAACATGTATAGCTTGGAGGAAAGACGAGACAGGGGGGATATGATAGAAACATTTAAATATATAAAGGGAATCAACACAGTAAAGGAGGAGACTATATTTAAAAGAAGAAAAACTACCACAACAAGAGGACATAGTCTTAAATTAGAGGGACAAAGGTTTAAAAATAATATCAGGAAGTATTACTTTACTGAGAGGGTAGTGGATGCATGGAATAGCCTTCCAGCTGAAGTGGTAGAGGTTAACACAGTAAAGGAGCATGCGTGGGATAGGCATAAGGCTATCCTAGCTATAAGACAAGGCTAGGGACTAATGAAAGTATTTAGAAAATTGGGCAGACTAGATGGGCCGAATGGTTCTTATCTGCCGTCACATTCTATGTTTCTATGGTTAAACTTACCTCTTTCTCCAGCGCCAGGCGGGGAGTTCTCCTCCCTCTTCTCCTCCTCTTCGTCTGAATGCGCATGTGCGGCAGGAGCCGCGCGCACATTCAGCCAGTCCATAGGAAAGCATTCACAATGCTTTCCTATGGACGCTGGCGTCGTCTCACTGTGATTTTCACAGTGAGAATCACACAGGCGCCTCTAGCGGCTGTCAAGAGACAGCCACTAGAGGCTGGATTAACCCATTTATAAACATAACAGTTTCTCTGAAACTGCTATGTTTATAAAAAAAAAAAGGGTTAACCCTAGCTGGACCTGGCACCCAGACCACCTCATTAAGCTGAAGTGGTCTGGATACCTATAGTGGTCCTTTAAGTACGCTTCTAGTGGCTGTCTCCCTGACAGCGACTAAAGGCTCTTCCGTCTCCATCACAGAGTAAAACTTGGTTCTTCAATCAGATGCTGCTAATAGCAGCATTTGATTGGAGGAGTACAGAATTTTTCTGCGCATGCATTCTTGTCCTCAATGCTTCTCTATGGGAAGTCTTAGATCAGGCTTCCCCAAACTCTGGCCCTCAAAATGTTGCTGAACTACAACTCCCATGATTCTCAGCATATCTATTTCATTAATAGAATCATGGGAGTTGTAGTTCAGCAACATCTGGAGGGCCAGAGTTTGGGGAAGCCTGTCTTAGATGGACAAGGCCACGAGTGACATCAGCTTGGATGCTCATATTGAGGAGATGGAGCTAGAGGTTACAGTGGAAGAGTCGTGGTCCTGGAAATGACAAAAATTAAATAGATTCATCTTTAATTTTACTGAGCAAAGGAAGGTGGACAGTGATCATATTAATATAAGAGATCCTATAGTCCTGATCTAATAATTGTTATTTTTGGGACTATAGGTTACCTCAGCTTGCCAGCACAAGAAAAACTCTCAAACTATTTCAGAAAGAAATGAAAAAATAAAATCAAATAAATCACCCTGCTGGCTTGATAAGCAGCAAATGGAAATAAGACTGACAAGAAAATTCATCAGATTTCTTTTGATAAGACTTGCATACTGTATTCAATAAATAGGAGAAAAATATATTTGTTGTCCAAGCGTATTTCTGAGTACAGTAACATATAATATGTGCGATACAGTACATACATCAATAAAATGGAGCAGGGGTCACCATGGACTCCTAATAACCAGGAGGTCCACCATCCTTCACCCAAAAATCAGGAGGTAGTGTTAAAAAAATGAATGGGGTCCATAAGACATCTGCAGCAGTAGAATCATGCAGCATTGTGGCAGATATAGAAATAGATTGGGATCCAGCTACTCCCTATTTAGTAGTGGAGACAAGTACATTGCCCCTCTCTATCTCCACTCAGTGAGAGGTTATTTTCCTTCCCCCACCTCAAGCTGTGGAATTTGGGAATACTTTGATTACATTAGGACCCTGTATTAAGAAGGAAGTATTCCCTATGACTCCAGTACCCAATGGCAATGCATTGGCTAATGAAATTAAATATGTGACCTTGTATGTGCTCATCTGCTTCATCCTATAAAATGTGTCATCAGCACCCTAGTAAGTAAAATATTTATTATTATTTTATGCATCACTATTCTTTTAAATGAATAATCCAGATACCTAATGCACTTCAGCGTGTCCTCTTTTCATTTTGGAAAAACTAACCCAGTTACACCCCCTGGCTGTCAGACAACTTATACTGTTACTTCCAGGTTTTGTTAGCTCAGTTGAGCTAAACTCAAGAGGCAGACAATTGCTCAGAGTACTTGCCTTGCAAAGACTTCTCATTGAGCTGAATTGGGAAGTCTGTGATTGGACAGTTGGGCTGGGTTAGAAGGGGAGAGTTTGCAAAGGCTTTAGACAAGAGATCTGTAGCTTTTACAAACTGTTTTTAGATATACCTTAATGAAAAAGTGCATCATTTAATGCATGCCAGTTTCATGTGGGGATAAATCTACAAATTAGTGATTTGTATTTATTTATTTTGTACTTGGGTAGTGGAGTGTACATTTAATGTAAACATCATAATAATCTCTATACAGGGGGAAAGAGCATGCAATTATCTAAATTCTAATTAACCAGATTACAAAAAAAGAGGTTTCCATTACCATAACAGTGCAGTCTGTAGACACAGAGTATATTTTTGTGTTTTCATCCCCAATACATAGGAAGCTGATTGGCGAAGAGTGTCCACGTAATAACCCAGTTGGCCATCTAGGTACAATAACAAACAAAGTAGTTAATACTATGAGAATGTTATAAATAAAAACACGTTATATATTTGTAATAAAAAATATTAACAAAAAACTCTAGTTAGGAAACTGTCCAAGGGTTACAATATCACATATTTGTTGCAGGTTATGGCAGCTCAGATTTCTAGATCCTGTCTTTAGCTTTGGATTTCTCTCTATAGGCAATTTAAATCACTTATAAATCAGATCTTCTAACACATTTTTCCTCTCCTTCCTCCAGAGTCAAAGCTGCTTACTTATTTCTTTGACCTTACGCAAGGGCTGTTGATAGCTTTTGTATACTATATGTCATATATAAATCAAGAATTGGAGTGGCTCAGAGGCAGGAATGCAGGCTTAGGATCATATAGCACCCAGGTTCAAATCCCCTGTTGGGCCCTTCTGGGGTGATTTCGTCTGGCCATCTGGATGTCATGGTGAGAAATGTGACAGGAGGGATGTATTAATTTTTCCACAACAAGAGGACATAGTCTTAAATTAGAGGGACAAAGGTTTAAAAATAGCTGAAGTGGTAGAGGTTAACACAGTAAAGGAGTTTAAGCATGCATGGGATAGGCATAAGGCTATCCTAAGTATAAGATAAAGCCAGGGACTAATGAAAGTATTTAGAAAATTGGGCAGACTAGATGGGCCAAATGGTTCTTATCTACCGTCACATTCTATGTTTCTAAATACCTGTCTTGGTTACAGCTGAACACAGCCATAAGCTACATTTTCTGATGAATAGACATTGGGCTCTGTTCCTTTGTGTACCATTTCCAGTTGTTCTAATAATACCTACCCAGGAACATAAGGATTCCAAATACGAACTATCCTGTCCAAACCTCCAGTTACAAGGATGTTGCTTTCCTTGCAAAAATCAAATGTCTTGACACCTCTTTTTACTTTGAACAGAGATTCGTCATTGAGATTCCTCTTGGGAGGAATATTTGCAGACAGCAAGGTACGTCTACTGCTTGTGCTGCTCGACTCCATAAGGTCTCGGAGCCTCTGCTGCACATTTTTTGTTCCTTCTACACAACCTGTCCAGAGCCAACAGAAAAAAAATACATTAAGTTACATATTTTACCAAAATATATGCTGTAATATTATCCTTATTATTTTTTAACTTATTTATTTAGTCACGAGAGTGCAAATAGACAATACAGACCGCATAGTGCAAAATGCAAAAATGGTCAGAAGATGCTGTCATGAACCAGATTTCAAAACGTAGAAGAAATAAGAGCAATAAGGTCGATCCCAGATATAACAAAGAAAAAAAACAAAAGGGAAGAAAAGGTATGGGGAAATCCCAATGGGGCAAAGTTTACCAATCAGGTAATAATAACCTTATGGTACAGTGGTGCCATTTGCGATTTATCCTCCTATCCCAAATCTTATGGAAAGAGGCAGAGGGTACCATGGACTAAAGTGTTCAGCTCATGCATAAGTGTATCATTAATTTTTGTTAAAACTACTAACATAGGCTTTGATTTGATAATTGTTGGATAAGCTTTCCAAATTATGAAATCTCTTTGTATAAACATTTACAATAATTTTTCAACCTATTAAAATATCGGACTTTATAACAAAGTTTGCATCTTTTCCTGAGTTGTGTTTCAAAGCTGTTGTATACAACAAACATAAACTTCAAGGAATCCATGTTTAATATGGAATAATGAGGCAAAAAGTTGATTCTTTGTTGAATTAATTTGCATATGCCCACCCAGAATCCTTTGAGGTAATAACATCACTGAAAAGTTGAGATTTCTGTGGGAATAGTAAAATTTTAGAAATAAAATTCAAATATTTATCATACTATTAAATCATTTTAAAAGTTTATCGAGAAATATAAAATCATTTAGAAAGCTTATCCAACAATATTAAATTAGGACTACAGTGGGAGATGAGGCTTTAAGCTATGTAGCAGCTGAAGCTCTCATTATATGAATAATTATTATTGATTAGAATTATAATTAGTAATTATATCACTTCTGGAACACAGACAATAAAACACAATACAAAATATAATTTTTTATTACAATCATAGAGCCTTGCAACCTATTGTCTAGATCAGAAATCACTTTTATGACATTTTTAAACAACACACCACATTGAACAGCACTGTGGTTGCTTATAGGTAATGATAATATTTATAGAAATGTATATTTTAATATATCTGTATTTAGGATGTATCGGTATTGCATTACAGTAGGGATGTGCATGGGCCAAAAATTCGGTTCGGTTCCGAAATTCGGTTAAGTAAAATAATTCAGCACTTCGGCAATTCAGAACTTTGCCAATTCAAAACTTTGGCAATCCGGAACTTCGGAATTCGGATCATCTGTAGGGCTCCCTAACCCTAACCTTACACCTGTCATCATTCACGTAATTTTCCCTCCCTCTCTTGTTTTGCCACTTTTTAGAAATCCGAAGCACTTCGGCATTTCCAAAATTCGGCAATTCGGTTCGGTTCGGCACTTCGGACATTCGGAAGCATCAGAATGTCTGAATTGCCCGAAATTCATCCGAATTCACATTTGGAACGAAACAAATTGCACATGTCTACATTACAGTAAGTGTATGTACTAACTACTATTCACAGAATGTTATTTTCCTAGGCTGACATAAGGCTCTATTACTCCTTATACATTTATTTATCAGTATTTTCTGGGGTAAGGTCCAGCTGCTTTTGTTGTACATACACACATATCACTCACCTATGACAAGAGCGGTAAAATCATCATTGGAGCTTGAGATAATGGATTCCATAGAATGAACATATCTAATCTAGAAAAGGTGAGAAGAAAATCATACAGATCTCATTATTAAATGTATTTTAATAATGTCTCTTATTACTATATTTCTTCTTTTTTGATATATACCCTTTTTAAAAATGGCCATTGGGATGTTTCCGCACCATGGACGTTGCCTGATATAAGAATAATAGCGCTGAGTCATTTCCTGTGAAATGCGATCTAGACTTACTGTATTTATGACCATCTTGAAAACTACAGGGCTCCATCACTTCCTATGTGACAGCGCCACATCACTTCTCTTGTGACGCGACGCTTATAACTACATCCTGTATACGCCTGCTTGGAATACTCAAGCGCCGTGTCACTTCCTGTGTGACACGACACACAATTGATCATACACTTGCCAGTTTTACATTTACGCCTTGTTAATTTCAGCGTGACGGATGCGTATCAATAAGGAGTTTCACTCTATACACACAGTTCACTGACTTAATGTGATTGGTGTATATAACATCATAATGGAGTGCCGCATAGCCATTGCACGTGAGCGTTCGTTCCAAGCTGGTACACATTTAGTTATATGTATCAGTAACCAAGCTTGGATATCGCTGTGTCGCTTTGTGTGTGACAAGTACATTCCAGCTTGGAATACAGGAATTTTTTTAAATCCAACACACCAGGAAGCAATCTCATACTACTATTTACCTATATAAGCTCAGACTTTTGAGGACCCTACCACACTGCTAAAGCCTTGAGAGGAGAAACATGTTAAATGTGGTCGCTATAGTTTATTGGACCATTTTCTTTGTTTTTATATGTTTTTAAATTTTATTCATGTAATAAAGTTAACTTTTTATACTTCCCTATTTAATTTTCATCTTGCTTCCAGGTACCTGCAATATCCTTAGGTGGGGATCATACCACCCAAGCCTCATACCACTAGAGCAAGTCCTTTTTATATTTGATTCAAAAGTACTTACTTCACCATTGGAGTATCTCTTATCTATGTTCCCATATACTGTATGGGCACTATCCAATTGGGAGGACTTCTGACATTTGGAACCACAGATATCCATAGATGGGGATTATACCGTCCGTGCACAATTCAGCAGAGCTCTATGTTAGCTCTGTAAAATGTGAGTGAACCCTCCATATAATTTTTTTTTTTTTTTGCATTGTTCAACTATTATTTGTCCTGCTTTGTGTTTTCTTTTTGAGGTTATTCAAAAGGAACACTCTAGAAGGTAAATGCATGTAGTTATTGCACATTGAGGTTATTTTTCTGGCGTGGTGTATTTCAGTTTTTTTTGGTTGCATTTTAATTTACAAGGTTTGGAAATCGTGTGTTTCACTGCTGCCTAGATCTCTTTAATTTTAATGAGTGCCTAGAATATTCCCTTTTTTCTGGAGATAGCTAGCATACCTCCCAAGTATCCTAATTTAGGAGATACAGTCCCTACATTTGGCCCAAATCCCTCTGCCCCTCTTTTCTATCCTAATATCCCTGTTATCTAAGAACTCACAGTAATGTATCTTTACACTACAATAAATGTGTCTAGAAATCAGTCTGTGTAAATAAGATCGATTGTTTTTGTTTTAGTTTATATTTTAGTTGCATAAATTATTATTAATAAGTCACCTAAAAATTCTCAGTACAGCCCCACCCCTAGTCACGCCACCTCTCACACCCCTAAAATGAAAGTGTCCCCCTCTTTGTCCATTTGAAACATTAGGTGTTATGTAGGTGAGCTCTGTATGACATGTAGATCAACACACAGATGGTAAATCCCTGGTAGGGAACATACCACGATTAGTAAAGCAATAGTGGGTATCTTTGTTATCTCAGTACAAAGGAGGGAATGCCATCCAGTCCTACATGAAATGCCTTCCCATAAATAGTAGCATATCAAATACAATGCTTTTATGTAAAGATAAACAGTAACTTCCTAGGTTCAATATTATGTTTACTTAACCATATATTTAGAAACTGTGTGTTTGTGAGGTATGAAAAATAAATAAATGTAGAAATCTAAATGTCTCTATTCTGCAACCTGGTGCCTCCATCTTAGTCTCCATCAGTCATTGCTGTAGGCTCCGTCCTTTGCATGCAGCAGCATAGAAAATAAATATACAGAAAAGAGGGGCAACATTTGCCCTGGACTGATGCCTGTGAACTGGATTATGATGTAATTTGCCAAATCTTAAATACGAATTTAAAAGAAAAATTAACATCTCCTGAAAATAAAACAGATTTATACACAAGTTTAGGCTAATTTTCAATGTTTTATTCAATTGTGTAAATCCTAAAGAAATGGCAGTTCGCCTTTACAGTGTCTGAGAACATGCAGTACATCTGCTAGTTTACTGCACAGTGCCATTCATGTTTTTTTAATAAATAGAGTTATCAGCAGTCTCAGTTACTGAAGTTTATGCACACTGATATATATCTACGAGAGCCATGGGCGTCCGCAGGAATTTTTCCGGGGGGGGCATAATTGTAATGACATCCATGCTTGGTACCTTTTTGACAGTGTCATGAAAGGGAAGGGGCATAGCCATTATCACATAAAGCCAGGGTGAATAGCGTTTTCACAACTATGGTGTCAGGAATATATGTTTGTATTCCTGACACTATAGTCTTCCTTTAAGCAAATTAAAGGACCATTCTGGTCACCATAACAACTTCACCTAAATGAAAATGCTATGATGCCAGGAAGCCCCTGGGTGCTCGCTTTCCTTTAAGGGTTAAATCGCTCTCAAATGGTTTAACCCCAAAGGCTTCCTCCAGCTCCAGGTCGCTCAGTGGTATTTGGCTTCTGAAACAGAGTGTCAGGAAGTGCAGATTGACGTCAGGCATGGGTGCCGCTGATTGGCTAGAGTGGACAGTTGACGCTCTAAGCCAATAGCTAGTTCCCGGTTCATAAAATATTTTAACTTTTTTATGAATGGGGAGCTACTGATTGGCTTAGAGTGCCAGCTGACCGCTCTAGCCAATCAGCAACACCCCTACCCAACGGCACTCTGTGCTTCCTGACACTCAGTAAATAAAAGTGAACACATTAATACTGATATTTTTTTTACCTTTGGAGATGAGAAGGTCCAGCGTTTCCCTGCCAGGCCCAGGTACCAAAGCCTTATGATGTGGTGTCCAGAATAAAGTGGAGGATTCACTTAATTTGTCTTTCCTGCTCCAATCTCCTTTTCCTCTCCTTCATGTGACAGTATTTTTTTTTCTTCTGACACTGTTTTCTATCCTTGGCCCCTTCTGCTCTTTTACCTTTCTGCTACTTTCTCATTCTGATCCCTTTCTGCTCCTTGCAGACCCTTCTGCTTCCTTTTCTACTTTACCTTTGTGCTCCTTGCTGTCCCTTCCTGCTCCTTCTCCTACTTTACCTTTGTGCTCCTTCTGATTCTTTCTGCTCCTTTACCTTTGTGCTCCTTGCTGTCCCTTTGTGCTCCTTTCTGCTCCTTGCAGGCCCTTCCTGCTCATTCTCCTACTTTATGTTTGTGCTCCTTCTGCCCCTTCCAGCTCATTTCTGACCCTTTCTGCTCCTTCTACTTTACCTTTGTGCTGCTTTACCTTCCAGCTCCTTGCTGACCCTTCCTGTTCATTTCTATATATCTATAGGCTGCTGCCCCCTCCCCAAATCTATAGGCTGCTGCCCCCTAAATCTATGGGCTGCTGCCCCCCCTCCAAATCTATGGGCTTCTGCCCCAAATCTAAAGGCTGCTGCCCCTAAATTCCATGTGGGCTGCTGCCCCCCCAAATTCCATGGGCTGCTGCCCCCACCGCGGGCCGCCGCCTCTAAATCTAAAGGCTGCTGCCCCTCCCAAACCCAAAGGCTGCTGCCCCCCCAAATCTATAGGCTGCCCCTCCCCAAATCGTGCATGCTGGGCCTCACCCAACCCATGGCTGCTGCCCCCCCAATATATGGGCTGCTGCCTCCCCAAATCTAAGGGCTGCTACCCCCAAATCTAAAGGCTGCTGCCCCCCCAAATCTATAGGCTGCTGCTGCCCCCTAAATCTATCTGCTGCTGCCCCCCCACCCCCAAATCTATAGGCTGCTGCTGCGGTTTCAATCAGCAGAGAGAAGCAGGGATAAGATGCAGCTTCCTATCCCTGTCTCTCTCCATACACAGTATTGCAGTTCATTTTTAAATCTCACACAAAACAGCAGAACAAGCTGAAAAATCCAGGGGGGGGCAAGTGCCCCCCCTGCGGACGCCCATTACGAGAGCCCATAAAATTTACTAAGAATTTCTACATGGACTTGTTTGACCACACAGTAGGTAGATTTACCCTTGGACGTCACTAACAGAACTTCAATGATTTATGGGAATCATAATAGCCATGATTGAGGAATGGAGAAATACAGGAGAGCTTCTCGCACTATCAACTAAACAAAGAGAACAGCTAGCAGTAGTTTTTGAGGTACCCCTTTTATTTACAATTAGAATTCAAAACAAACTAATGATCATCCAGGACTGTGTTTAATAGATGACATATAAGCATTGCTTAAATTAAATAGTATAGTGTTCTACAATTATCTGTTTTATACATGTGACCTTACCTGTGTCACCCAGTCATTGTGAGCCTTCCAGCGAATGTATTTAACATGACCATGGTCCTTTATGTTATCAATATTAATGGAGGGAATTTCATCGATAACTTGACTCTTTGTCCAATTCCTGTTGTTAATTAAAATAAATAACAATATTGTTCAAAACAAGTGATGAATAAAAGGATGTAAAGAGGACATAGTCACAAACACCACCATTCTCAGACAGACACATGAGTTGCTCCAGTGGGCGAAAAGGGTTAAAAAAAATCACTGTTTGTGTGCACTAGACCATATAATGATTAAAAAACAAATCCCTCTTAACACCATCAAGATTGTATCCATTGCTTTCCAGACACAGTTCACTTCATAAATCTTAGTTAAAGGTAGTCAGATTAAAGGACCACTCTAGGCACCCAGACCACTTCAGCTTAATGAAGTGGTCTGGGTGCCAGGTCCAGCTAGGGTTAACCCATTTTTTTATAAACAGAGCAGTTTCAGAGAAACTGCTATGTTTATGAATGGGTTAAGCCTTCCCCCTAATCCTCTAGTGGCTGTCTCATTGACAGCCACTAGAGGCGCTTGCGTGCTTCTCACTGTGATTTTCACGGTGAGAGCACGCAAGCGTCCATAGGAAAGCATTGTAAATGCTTTCCTATGCGACGGGCTGAATGCGCGCGCAGCTCTTGCCGCGCGTGCGCATTCAGCCCAGGAGGAGGAACGGAGGAGGAGAGAAGGAGGAGAGCTCTCCGCCCAGCGCTGGAAAAAGGTAAGTTTTTAACCCTTTCCCCCTTCCAGAGCCAGGCGGGAGGGGGTCCCTGAGGGTGGGGGCACCCTCAGGGCACTATAGTGCCAGGAAAACGAGTATGTTTTCCTGGCACTATAGTGGTCCTTTAACCCTTATTATGCTGTAATCAATCATTCCACCTCTGTTGGGTTATCACTGCATACATCCACTACACACCTCACATTAGTTAATCATATTTTGACAATGGAACAATGATTATACACAATGGAGAGACACTCTGTATATTATCTGCCAGTAGTCCTAGGCGTATAGCCTATAGGGACAGCTTGTGTAAAATGCTAGTAGAATTACTTGTTTAATGCTGTGTCCCTGCAAGGCAAGATAACCCTGCATAATAAACATTTGCAGTTCAAATGTACCTTAATGTTTCTGCTACATGTGCCACCAAAATGATGTTGATACATCCCTGAAACACAAAGCAAGAATATAAAAAAATTGATGCAAAAAAAAAAAAAAGAAAATATATTTTACTTTAAAGGGATTCAATATAGAATCCTACAGTGCCCCCCTGAAGATTAAAACCCCTTCAGTGACTTACATGAATCCAGCGCATGCAGAGTTACAGCTTCAGGCTTGAATACAGTAAGAATTTTACTATATTTATGGAGGCATGAGGGGCCCAGGGGGGCTAGATGGTGGTTTTAACACTATAGGGTCAGGAATACATGTTTGTGTTCCTGACCCTATAGTGATCCTTTAACATCAGGTTTTTTTCTATTACAGTGAAAACATTCAATAACTTACCTGTTCATCACCAAAATATATGACACACTCATCTGCATCTCTTGTACTGAAGGAATAAATAGAAAAACAGCATATAAACAGAAATGGACGTAATTAAACAAACGTGTAGCTTTTATTAATAATCAACGGATACATACAACCATTGATAATACATGAAGACATAATAGGTGTAAAAAAAGTAGCAATGTTAGTGCTTATGTGGAGGGCTGGATTTGCCAGTAGACAGAGTAGCCGCCTCCCTAATTTTAGCATAGATTGCTTAAAAGGTTACTCCAACCACCATAAACTCTTCACCGATTTGAAGTGGTCATGGTGGTAGGATTCTGGATGTGCAGTGTTTTAATGGTGTGCTGGGGACTAGTTGCTGTGACATTGGTTTCAGGCTGCCTAATGTCAATTCTGTGCATAAATTACATCTGTTGTCAGCTGTCAACAGATGTTAAAATCTTCTCCATGCAGGCACATCCTGTATGGAGAAGGTAGCTCTCCCCTCCCACCATCCCACCTCCCTCCATGCAGCTCTGGTGTTTGGTTTTTTAAAAACCCTCCGCTCCCTCCGACTCCCTCCCCTCGCTGGCCTGGAGCACGCACATGTGCTCTCAGCTGGCGAAATGATCCAATCACAGGCTTCTCATGCAGCTTTCAACGTGCAGTCCCAATGACGTCAGGAGGGGGCTCAGAAAAGCAGATCTTTGCCCAGTGCTGAATATCAGATAAGTAAAACCTATTTTTTTTTTTTTACAGGTTTTACAGTGAATTGAGAGTGGAGACCCCACATTGCCCTATAGTGCATATTACACCAGAAAAGCCCCCCTCTCAAAAGGGTTATAGTAACCTTTTAATATGCGGCCCAGCACTTGTTTACAAATTCTGTACCTCTGATATGAACCCGCCATGCTTTTACAGGGTCATTACTATCTGCAAATAGTATTAAATTACTGTTAATTAATGTTATTGATTAGACACTAATTATAAAGCTCACATTAGATACAATATGTTGATTTGTATAATACAGCTAATCTATTTTTTAGGGGGGGAGGCGGGTTATGCCTGTGGTTCACATTTATTAAAAATAGTAAACAAAATCCAATTACCTGTAGCCTAAATGAAGTGGCAGTGTTTCCAGGCCAACAATTTGACAATAAGGTTCAAAGTTGGAAAGTTCATAAAGACGTATCTCTCGGTCACTAACAATATAAATGTTTTAAAATGATAATAAATAATAAAACAATTTGATAGTTATTAATGATAATGTTTCTCAGCATGCACTTCTTTTACTTCTTATTTATCTCTATACCCTGGAAGCAAGGTGTATACAGGAACCAGAGTATGCCCCATGTAAACTGACACTCGATGGTCATCTTTTATATAATGTGATGAGGAGAAGGAGAATATAAAGGAAATGGTTTGGGGTTAATATATACTAAAATAAGATCTCTAAAAACAGACAAAGATATGCATCACAAAGAAATACAAAATGTGACCAAAAAAAAAAAATTGGTGTGCAGCAAACTAAACTATTTTTATTTTATTTTCTTTAAATATTGATGGCCTACATTTCCCAGAATTCTTTGATGGCCAGACAATAAAGGAAATTGTAGTTCAACATTTTTTTAATAAAATGTAAATACATTTTCTAATGCACTCACAAAATAAACTTAGACACAAAGACATTGTGTTGTGCATATTAATAAGTATGGGGCCAACATCCAAGTATGTCAGAAATAAACAAAATCAGTCTGTGAGAATCACAATACAATAAATAAAAGAGAATTAATAAAGGCAAAGTAAAGTCATCAACAATATAGAAAGATGGAATTAAATATGGTTGTAGATTAAGAGCATATTGAGCCCCGGTGTAAGTCTTCCAGTGTTGGATGCTGTGAACCAAGGCAAGTTCCTTTTACTGTATACTGAGAGGGAAAAAATCCACAGGCCTAATTCCTTCTCCAGTTCTCAGTTCTCTCAATGAAGCTCCCATGAAGCAGAGTAGATTATGGTCACTCCCCAATGCAAACAGATATAAATGTATATATGTTTATACACTCACTATAAAATAAATTAAAGCCGCCTGAAAGAATCCAAGCCCGCAAACCCTAAAGAGCAATAAATATACATATGGAATGGTTGCAAAAATCATGCACTTAATTCTAAATAAACTGTTAAAATATTTTTGAAAGAAAATAATGAAATGATCAATCAATCAAACTGTTATAAATCTAAAATGATATTTAAAGAAAAATGATTTTCCTAACTGGAGACCGTTTTTGCACTGGCATTCCATACTTGCCAATATTTCAAACTGACTAAGAGGGACACTTTGATTTAAAGGGTGTAAGTGATGGATTGGCCTGTAGGCATGTGCATTCGTATTCTTAATTACATCAAACTTAGCATGAGGGAGAGAAGGTAGTGGCTTGGGACCACCGGGGGAGAAACTTATAGACAGTTTTGGTGGGAGGTAAGGGGTTGGGGCTGTGGGGACAGTAGGTATTATAATTAGAGCTTCCCATCCACCACTTATGTGTAGAGGCTGGGCTGGGGGAATTCTATGTCCCCCTTTAATAACAAATAGCCCCCAACCGCAGACCACAGGTGGGGGTAGGAGGCAGACCTACACCCTGCACACACTGCTTCTGGCTTGGTTCTACACAAGTTGCTGCGGAATTTACCATTACCCGGATCTGAGGCCTACTGGGGTAGGTGCACGGAAGGCCAGGAGAAGCGGCCAGGCTCCTGGTTCTGAGAACCCTCCTCACAGACTCACAGATCCACAGACCCTCTAATCCCCCCTTGGACCACTGGGGGATATACCCCAGGCTTATTTTTGGTGTTTTGTTTACATTTACATTTCAGTTGGCACATGGATAGGATAACGCTTGTTCCCCCAGCGCTAGCAGTCAGTGGGCCATAAAGACATTATTCAATAAAATATAATTTTGCCAAATGTTTATCAAACCAAATAGGTAAGTAACTGTTGGCATAAATGGGGGGAAAAAAGAAAAAAATGCACTAAAAGAATTTCTAAAAAGAACTTCAAGTTTTTGTGCACATCTCTAGTGTAAATGGACAGGGTTGTTCTGCAAAAATGTAGTTCCCATCTAAGTACATATATATGCAATTAAAACGAAAAAAAACAATGGCCTTAATTTAAATTTTAATCCACATCAGAAATTATTACAATCCGTTGGAAAAAAACTATTCAAATTATCTACAGAAGTCACCATTAAACTTTTGTACATAAATCTGAAAAGGTTTTTGAAAAGACTGGAATAATTTCTGGTGCTGATTCAAACTAAAAAAATTGAGGCAAATGTACCTTATTTACACAGACTAATTTATAAATACATTTATTGTAAGTTACCATCACATTACTGGTAGATTTACTGTGGAGCTCTGCTATACACTCCGATACACCAACAATATTGAACTCCTAGAAAAGTCAGACATTGGGACAGAAAATGGGGACAGAGGTATTTGGACCCAAAATAAGAGCTGTCACTCCTAAATAGGGACACTTGAGAGGTATGGTGTTCCCTCTTCCTGGCCTTAGAATAATATAGGTACGTAAGTTCAGTGCATGGTTTTGACTGTATTGTGTGTACGCACAGCATGTCAGAGCACAGAAAAATTAATCAACTTATAAATGTAGCAGTATAGGCAAAAGACTAGGTGATAGGTGTAAATCGAAATTCACATCCGTACTCCAAGATAAACCCAACAAACTAAAAAGCACAATCCTAATTTGCATATATTACTTTAGCTATTCCTTAAATTCCATTTAAAATACCAGAGCTCTTACCATGTCCCAATAATGAGCTTATTGTATTGAACCATAAGAGTTGAGTCGGCGATCCATTTTACTTTTTTATTCGGTTGTTTGTGTTCATCCTATTAGTGATACAGGGTACTGAAATTAGTGAAAATATATCCATTTATTAAGAAATCACTCTAATCAGCCCTATACCTTTTACTTTTGTTGTCATCACACAGACTTACAAATATTGCTAAAACAGTGATCATAACACACAACGGCACAATAATTGCTCGGGGTGCTGTCACCCTGTGTACTATGGGATGATGGTTTATGTTTTACCCCTTTTTATCTCCTCACAACTGTCATCAGCTAGGGAATAATTAGTATGCCATTACCTATATTTAAATGAAATGCTTAGATTAGACTCTACTCCATATTAATTCTTGTATATACAGAGAGACATTCTTCTTTGAAGCGGCACTGTTACTTCTGACTATTTTATAAAGTTAGAATCTTTATGAAACGCTCATTCTGTCTGCATTGTAATTTCATTGACATTCCAACACAATCCAAAGATACCATAAGCCGCAGCACCTGGTCTGCATTTAAAAGGGCCCCCTAGATGAAATGGTAGATGCCGCAAGGGACAGCTTCAGTAAGTACATCTACTTTCCACTGCACTCCGCAGCAAGCAGACCTTAATCGGACATGTCACCTTCGAGGGTCTTTGCAAAATATGCAAAGAACCAAATGTGACTGTTTTAATTTGAATGATGACCAAACTATTAAAATGTATGAATTATGGTAGCATTCGGTAGGCATTTAGGATCACAGTACAGTAAATGTACAAAGTTAACCATTGACAGTTTCATAACAAATCTCTCACACCTAGCACATAGCAACTTGAAAACTATAAAAAATGTACAGCTTCAAAAGTAAACAAAATTCAAGTATGTGTTTAATAACACATGTTGGTTCTATAAATACTACTACTACTAATAAGAAGAATGTAAAACAACCAAAGTCTCATTGAAATCTTATCATTCTGTGCTTTGACTTGTTAGCAATCCTTTTAATTGGGTAATAAGACGTCTCCATTTAAATTTTATGTTAGAGATCAAATTATACATGTTGAGATAAATTAAGGGTTAGGGAATCATCCAATGAAGAATATGGTAATTAATGTCATTGAATTATTGTTTGAGATAGTGTTACTAATGGCGAGCATGTGCATCACACTTGCATTCAAAGGCTTTATTGCCTCTGGCAATACTGAACACAACCCAGACCAGATAATCTGGTCCTCACACCACAACACATACACAAAGCAACAATGGTAGCAACACTTAATAACACAGTTTTAATTAAGGCTTTTGGTTACTGTCTATTCCATGGCGCACACTTTAACTGAACTTTTCTTTATGTGTTTAGTTCAATTCAATATCAATGCCCAGTTTTCTAGCCTTCTTCTCTGTTCCCTTTTACTTACCTTCTCTAGAGTTACACATGCCCCAAGGCAGGGCAAGATCTGTTTAAACAACAAGGGTCAAGGGTTATATATATGTATCAAATGTGCTTTCATTCCGTTAATTGTGCCAGAATATTCTTTACTGCCCCTCTTTGGTCATTTTATTTTCCTGTTCCATTCCAGTTCTTTTTTGTTTACAGAATAAAAAATATCTTTCACATTTCTAATATTTCTTTCTTTCCAAGTAATATTTATTATATTTGTCTTATTTTGTGCATGCAATAAGTGGTAAAATCAGCAGGAAACAAAAAAAGGAGCAAATTAATCAAAGAAGGAATAAAAAAAGACAACAGAGAAAAAGAATAAAAAGTGTTGGGAAAAAAGTAATCATTGTATGAAGGGTGAAGTAACATTTTTACATAAAAAAATGACAAATGGGCACAAAACTGGAGCCAGCGTAAAAACGAATGTGACAATTACATGACCACCATTGTCTTATTTACCAGAATAAATCGATTTTTCTTCAGTTTAAGCTCCGATGTCCAGACCGAGATCAGGCCATCTTGACCAACAGCTAATAATGTATTATCAGGCATGGGTGATATCTGGATAAATGGATCCCGATGTGGTGTTTCCGTTAAAGTAGCAGGAAGATGAAATGAGACTCTCTTAGTTGGCTGCTGTCTGTGAAACTCTGCATCTTCATTGTATCCCACCTGTCAGAAAATATAATGTTTAAATATGCAGAACGCTTGTATAATACTTATTCTTGTGAAAAAAATATTTATGAACAAAATCTGTGGGAGCGGGCATTCACTAAATACATGCTGTATTCACAATAACAGACTGGGCAAAAACATATTTAGTACATATTATAACAATGTTCATTTATTTGTGCAAATAGAATCATACAAATCTGTTTTATTATAGCTCAATGTGTGGTTTATTTGTAACACATAGCTAAACTGCTATATAAAAATGCTGGAAAAAAAATACAGATAAATATATCATCTACCCTCAGTAGGAAATTAAATTGTTTGTATGTGTTTGTTAATAGACACAATTATTATTTCTAATCCTAAACCACTAACCCCTACCTTTCTTTGTCCTTTCTATTCTTCTAGTGACTCTAACTCTCTCTATTGCTTTTAACAACATATATGAAGGTTCAAAATGCACGTAACTTTATAACTGTTTTTGACAAAATGATCCTTAATATCTGCTGTGCGTCGACTGGATGCGATTGGCTAGGGCTGAGGGATATTTATCAAAGTATTCTAAATAGTCCTTAAATTATTTCATTCATATTTCATATTTTATTAAGTGATGGTTTCTTTGTTGTAAATTGCACAGGTTTTCACAGAAACTTCCATTTCAGAAGACCACCAAACTTAGAGTGGCAGAAAAAGAGAGAAATGAAAACGAACACTATTCTGTTGGGGGGAAAAACTGGTCAAACAACTGTGTCATTTCAAAAATGATAGTTAGGGTATAAAAAAAGCAACAGGTGAAAAAAATGACAGATTTAATAAACAGCTGCATAATTTTTCGGACAATATGTGTTGGAAAAACATTACTGGACACAAACAATACTTGATGACACTGCAGATGAAATGTATATTGGTTATTGTATCCATGGCAAACAACAGAATTGATAAGCTCTGCAGTATCTTCTGAAGTCATTTCCAACTACCCGCTAGTCATAAATGTGTTCTTTGAAGAAGTATATGTGATGGCCAAGCAAATTTTAAATGTTCTATTTAATGTTAAAATTGAAAGTATCAAAATTATACATTTCACTTCCATTTAACATTAGCTGCAATGTTGCCACGTTTTTTTGATGTGGAATAAATGTAATTGGAACTATCACATTTTTCAAGTTTCTTTGTTTTTGGATTGGCCTTGCCCTTTACAGTTCTGTTTTTCTCAGCTTTCTCTGAAAGTGGATTTCTAAATGACTGACAACATTACAGTATTATCCTTTTTACCAATGAGTGACATTCATTACAGCAAATTTCAGAAATATAGGCATTGACATATAGAAGGCTAAACTTATTTAACCAAACTAAGATTTAGATAATTTTTAAAATCACTAAACTCATTTTTGGACATTTAGTTGACCCAATATATTATTAGAATATTTCTATAGTTCCCTATGATTTCATATAAATGTGTATACAGGTCATGGAGGATCCTAAATATAATTTAATATATTTAAATGTGTTGACATCAAGATGTTTTCTTCCTTTCTATTAATATAATATTGTTTAATCCCCTAGCTTCACACTCATCTTCATATTATTATAATACTCACAAGTGGGCATTTTTCGAACAGACGGAAAAAGATAACTATCCACTATTGCAGTTACAGATATCTGTCAGCACTTGTGGCTATGGCTTTATGCAAAAATAGGGCTCAGCCACCAAAGTCTTCTGGGAGTGTAGTCACTACGATGTACTTAAGGTGCTATTTTAATAGCAGATGATTCTGTCAAAACTAGATTTAACATAAGAAGTACATATTTACCTGAAGAGCCATCACCACTTCTAAATTATGTTTTTCCTGAAAAGAAAATCAAAAACAATATTACTTTTAATTTTTTTGTGAATAATTAAGCATTCCATGTGCACATTCAGCACACAATACAAATGTATTCATTAAGGTCAATATGTAGAAAATCATATGGTAAATATCAGGCCAATATGGAAGGTTTATTTTGGATATTATTCATGGGATTTATTTTCCTCTATAAATTTCCAAACTGGATCCAAATTAATCCTGATGAGTTCTATGCCCATGTCATGTGTCTTTAAGGGGTTAAAGTGCCTCGCACAGACATCAACAGCTAGAAATGAATCAGTGACCAAATTAATATATGTATTATGGAGTATTCTTACAATGAGTAGATGTTTCCCTTATATAGAGAGTGCTCCATGGATTCAGAGAAAAAAATCTTGGACTGCAAGTCAGCTCCCCCAAATCACTCACTCAACAATGAAAATAGTGACAAATGCAAATAATGTTTACCAGATTATACACATGCTTTTCACACTGTTTCCTAATCTCACCGTGTAAATTCAAGTAAAGTCAATATGCTGTTTCTGTATGAAAGGCAGTTCTTGTAATGCACACAATTAACTGCAAACATCTCACTATCTTGCAAACATATTGATGAGGGTATATATTAATAACACAGCTTTTTAGGTTCAGGTCTCTTGATTTTATGGGTTTAAAGGGATCTGAAATAGTAATTTATCAACCTGTGCCAGGTTTATTATTTAGGTAAAAGCTTGACAATGACAGCATAGCTGCAGTCACCTAGCAGAGAGTCAAAGGCTGATTAGGCATGATACGAGATGCAGGTTACAGCATCCATTGACTAACTGGCATGGCCTATCGATGGTGGTCCAGATCTAAGTCATGCCAGAGGCTCGGTGGATTGTTAGTGAATTGTCAAATTTAAAGTTGTTCATGCGTAACAAACTTCTTAAATCAATCTGATTTGCTAATGGAAAGCTCCTCTGTTAATATGTAATCTCATTCATAATTAATATATGCCAGGAGCAGGAGGCTTCAAGCATAGATTTGTTTAATTTTTAATGAAACCTGGAAAAAGAGTATTTACTTTATTAAATTTTATAAAGGTGACACCAAAAATCAATTAAACAATAGCGTGAACTTAAAGAAGAAATGTAGCCTTTGTTGTTGCATAACTATTCCCTGTCATAACTGAGCATGCAACTGGTGGAGACAGACCACAAATGAGATCCTTGGCTAAATGGTTTCATGGGTAAGGGTGGATACAATGTGTGCGTATAGTGTGTGTAGTAGATACAGTGTGTGCGTATCGTGGATGCAGTATGTGTATAGTGGATGCTGTGTGTGGATTTTGCCGCTTTTTAAATTGGTCCTTTACCAGGGAGGAGGGACACTAAGTTCACTGGTGGTCAGTTGGTACTGTAAAGGTTGGACCACCAGGTACAGTTAATCCCTGTTGGACCGCCAGTGAGTATGAATCTCCACCACACCACCACTGTACCACTGCGGATCACAGCCCTTTTCCTTGAAGAAAGCCAAGCAGGACGGGGCTACACAGAGTACAACCAAACACATTATACTGGTGATACTCGAAAAATTAGAATATCGTGCAAAAGTTCATTGATTTCAGTAATGCGACGTAAAAGGGGAAACTAATATATGAGATAGACGCATTACATGCAAAGAAAGATAGTTCAAGCTGTGATTGGTCATTAGTGCGATGATTATGGCTTACAGCTCATGAAAACCCCAAATCCACAATCTCAGTAAATTAGAATATTGTGAAAAGGTGCAATATTCCAGGCTCACAGTGTCCCACTCTAAAAAGCCATAACACCTGCAAAGGGTTTCTGAGCCTTTAAATGGCCTCTCAGTCTGGTTCAGTAGGAATCACAATCATGGGGAAGACTGCTGATCTGACAGTTGTGCAAAAAACCATCATTTACACCCTCTATAAGGAGGGAAAGCCTCAAAAGGAAATTACAAAGGAAGTTGGATGTTCCCAAAGTGCTGTATCAAAGCACATTAATAGAAAGTTATGTGGAAGGGAAAAGTGTGGAAGAAAAAGGTGCACAAGCAGCAGGAATGACCGCAGCCTGGAGAGGATTGTCAGGAAAGCGCCATTCAAAAGTGTTGGAGACTTTCACAAGTAGTGGACTGAGGCTGGAGTCAGTGCATCAAGAGCCACCACACTGTCACGACACACCCCTTAGTTGACATTCCCTTGTGCAGTACCCATTCACACCACTATCTCTGTTTGGCACTGTTTCTAATTTCTTTTCATTAGCACTTCACCTGGTCCTTGTTTAGCACCTATATAGTTTGGTTTCTCCCCTCACTCCTTGTCAGACCATTGTCTCTTGTCTCCTGTTTCCCCGGTTCCTGGTTCCCTGTGATTCTGACTCCTGACTCCTTGATCCTGCATGTTGTTCCTTGGCCCTGTATCCTGCATTTCCTGGTCCTTCGTTCCTGTGTCCTCCTGGTCTTCGTTCCTGTGTGCTCCTGTGTTCTGGTACCGTGTTAGCTGCCTTATTGCCAGTGATCTTGACCCTGCAGCCCGGTTCATTTATTTTGCCTCTGGTCTTGCTTCCTGGTATATCTGCCTTGTGAACTCTGGATCTGTGCCCTACCTATTACTGGATTGTGCCTGCACAATCCTGCAGGCACCACTAGTAAAGGACTGTTTAAGTATTCACTGCCAGCACTATTCATGCTTATCCTATATTGTTATATACATTTGTTCTGTGACTTTGTATATATTATATGTTGTTTTGTTATCTTTTAGTACTTTGATTCTCTTTAATATATATTTCTTTATTTGCACTATTCATTGTGTCCTTTTGCATTTATTCTTTGCTAAATTGGTTCCTACATTTAAAAGGATAGTGCTGTCTCTGGGCAGCACCCCTTCATGCCCATGACACACACACAGACGGATCCTGGACATGGGCTTCAGATGTCGTATTCCTCTTGTCAAGCCGCTCCTGAACAACAAACAACGTCAGAAGCGTCAGTACCAACAAGGCACATTTTCATCTTAGTGGAGCTGTGAATAAGAAAAATTTCCGCTACTGGGCTCAAAATAACCCCCGAATGATTCATGAAAGACCGCTACAATCCCCTAAACTAACGGTGTGGTGTGCCATATCACAATTCAGAGTGATAGGCCCGTACTTTTTTGAGGAGGAAGGCATGTCCGCGAATTCGGAACGTTATGTCTCAATGTTGGAAACTTTTCTGCAGCCCAGAATGGAAGAGATTGTTGAAGTGGAGAAATTGGGGTAGTTCTGGTTTCAACAGGATGGGGCTACAGCCGACACAGCCCAAAATGTACTCAATGTTTTGAAAGAAATGTTACCTGGATGTCTGGCTCTATGAGGGGTGATGTGAGCTGTAAGCCATAATAATCGCACTTATGACAAATCACGGCTTGAACTATCTTGCTTTGCATGTAATGCGTCTATCTCATATATTAGTTTCCCCTTTTACGTTGCATTACTGGAATAAATGAACTTTTGCATTTTTTTTTTGATATTCTAATTTTTCGAATATCTGTACCTGTATACAGCAAACACACACATAATATCCAGCCAACACACACCAAACACACAATTACGTACAGTTTGTATTTTTGAGCTGATTTTATGGTAAAGTTATCTAAAAATATGGGTGTCCAATGTTTGGACATTGGCACAATTTCAGTGCTTGCCTTAGGCACTATTTTCAGTAGATACACACCTCTGGGAGAGTGGGTTACAAAACCACAAAATGTAAATGTAGACAAGGAGTGGAAATTGTGAAGTTGTCACGGTTAGGCATGGATGTGTTACTTGGTTTACTGTAATATGCAAAGAACCTATAATCATTACGTTCCCATTAATACTCTAGGAACATGCAAGAAACCTTCATCCAGAGTGGTGGGGCTTTCTCAACAACACATCATTTTTATACATTTACATTACTCCATAAATGTGAGTACAGTTTAGAAGCAATTACTTTTTCTTCTCTACATGCCAAGTGCAGAGAGAGCAATCTCAGATACTGTATATGCAATATATTCATTATATTCCATATACCAGATTGTTCATGTATTGTACTTTGTGGACCATATATTGTAGCCTAGCAGGTTTAGTGGGAGGACGGAGCTCATATAAGAGAGTGATACTAACACGAATTATGACGGTTTTATATTATTATATCTGTAAACCATTAGTTGTGTCCTAGGGGTAGCATTAGTATGATGTGAAACATTTGAGATTTAAGCAGACTCATTTAAGCTGTTCAACCACTTTACATAACAGCATAAAAAAATACCACTCTTTAACGTGTTTACTGCCCACATAATCAATTAATTAGGGTTGTACAATACACAAATAATTACTGTAATCTATTTCAATGCTACTTTCTACTCTGGAAGAATTTAGAAATACAGCAAATGATAACTGGAAATTGAAACATTTTAATAAATTCTGAACAAAACTATTAAACTAAGGATTGCTTAGTGAAGATTTGTTCTAAATGACACCTTGTGGTCAGTTCACTAAAGTTGTGGCATGTGGAGAAAGGATTTTTAAATAAAGGCTAAAATAGACATGCAAGCAATCTGAAAAAAAAGCAAAACAAGAATTACAACTCATGAGGCTTTGATTTGTTTTATGATGACTCAATTTTTTTTTTAACAATTTTAAAACATAGCCAAGTATCCTACTTAGCAGAATTGTATTCTTTTAGCCTAAATGTGCAAGTTGTGTGTACAAGTTTTTTCTCTAAAATACTGTTGAGTGTATAGACCCCCTCCCTTAAATATTATACTTCCTTTGTTTGTTTTCCTATTGATGACTATAAATGGCCTTCTAAATAAGAAGAACAAATATTAGTCATAACTTTACTTTAACCAAAGAGGAATGTGATTCACAAACATTGTTCTAAATTTAATTAGAATTATCTTATAAACACAATAAGGCAAAATAAGAGCTATTATAAAGCACATGCAATCAAAGCTGGTGTTAATTTCAGCCTGCAATATTAATTTATATTAATAACATAACCAACCAAAAAAGAGGACAGCATATTTCAAAGAAGAAAAACTACTCCAAGAGGACATAAATTAAATTAGAGGGGCAAAGGTTTAAAAACAATATCAGGAAGTATTACTTTACTGAGAGGGTAGTGGATGCATGGAATAGTCTCCCAGCTGAAGTGGTAGAGGTTAACACAGTGAGGGAGTTTAAGCATGCATGGGACAGGCATAAGACTATCCCAGATATAAGATAAGACTAATGAAAGTATTTAGAAAATTGGGCATACTAGATGGACTGAATGGTTCGTATCTGCCGTCACATTCTATGTTTCTATATTAAAACAAAATGTGGTAACATGTTATCATGCACAGATGCCTATAACTTATTGCCTATCAATGCATTCTGTTGCACTATGTTACTTTAATGTGACAAAATGCAGCTATGTAATGGAATGCATATAGGCAATGATAAAAAAGAATCAGAGATGAGATGGAATACTTACTGGCAGCTGGTAAAGCAGGTTGTCCTCTACTTTGGCGTATACTAACACACTAGTCAGTGCACTGTAAATGGCCTAGTTAGCCTCTAGAAGTTGCTATGGTAATTTAGAAACATTCTGGGACACTGGGGAAGAAGCTGAACAATAGTGAATGCAAATACCTTTCTCACAGGTCAGGGACCTCTCAATGCCAGACACAGCATTATGCAATTGCAACCCATGTCATGAAGAGGTTAGCAGCAGAGGAGTTGTGAGCTATCATTTGCATGGGAGGAGGCCGCACTGGACTACAAGGATTTGTCGTAAAGCCTGTTTGTTTTATTAACATTAAAACTCTTTTATTTGTTTTTGGTAACTGTTATAGCACAAAGCTGGCACGTATTAACATGGTTATAAAGAGAGCATAATCCTCATTACTGTATAGCCAGGTATCCTTTTTGTTAAGTGTGGTGTTTACAATAATAAATCAAATTCCAAATCTGATATAGAAATGTTTTATTTGGAACAAGTAACCTAGGTTTCTAAGGGGTTTAACCTCTTAAGGACCAAACTTCTGGAATAAAAGGGAATCATGGCATGTCACACATGTCATGTGTCCTTAAGGGGTTAAAGGGACACTACAAATTGAAAGCAGTTGGCTTGCTGAAATGCTTTGTGTGTGAACAGCTGTCCTCTTTTTTCAATTTACTATAATACGTTTTCTTTATTTTATTTTTTTTTTAAATTACATTTTATTGTAGCATATAAAACCATACAAACTGTGGAAAGCATATAATGCTACATTTTTTTGTGCAGGCAAGGAAAATCCTAGCTACAAATGTCAAGTGATATCAAGTGATATATAAAATACAATGCTGTGAGGCTGTCATAAGTCTAGTTCTTTTCATTTTAACATTGCACTTTTTAGTACGAGTAGACTATACTCTAATGTAATTTGCTTGCAATGGGGGTGAGAGAGAGAAGGATGATTCACAGGTGAGAGCAATTATGGAGGAACATTGATCAGCAAGACCAAATAACATTGAAATAGGTTGTATTAAACTATAGACACTCCATATTAGTGGTGTGAGCGTCCGAGGGTTGGTTAGAAC